CATGACCTCGATGAGTCTTAACCCCTTTCGAGGCTACATAGGGATTGCTGAATGAAGAATTGAAATGTACAAACAACTTAATAACACGTCAATTAAAGTAGCGATTATAAGTCCTAAAGATTATACGGCTAATGTAAAACTAATTAAAAAAGCAGACACTGAAACATCAATAGAAATCTCAGCTGCGTAGGGGTCACTGCAAAATATTCTTGTCAAATTCAGTTCACAGATTGAGTGCCCTTCTGTAAGAGTCAATGCTGTCTCTAACAAACACGGAGGAAATTGGCTGTGCACCAACATTTGAAGAGACAAAAAGTGGACTTAAAGTGCCTATGCAGCGAAATTTACCATTCCAATATTTTAAAAGAAATCTATAGAATCCTTCGCCTTTGTTCTTATACAAAAAAACAGTATTCCGATAAGTTGAATGGTTCTTTTTTTATTGAATGTCAAAGTATGCATATTTTGCAGTTGCGTTGCGAAATTTTATTTCCCGCTGTGACGTCACAGTGCTGAGTCGAGGCGAAACTATTTAGTCAGCCTGTTAAATCACTTATTAGGTCGAATTGTGCAAAGTGTGATACTAGCATGAAACTTTGCAATAATAGACAGTTTGACACGCTGAAAAAGACAGGATATGGACCCCGACTGAAAATTTCCCCCTTGTTCTATTTTTAGACTGGGGAACTTTGCCCTAGACTTTTATTGACGGTATTATCGTATCTCAGTCTCACTTTGGTAGAGTAGCATGAAACTTGTCAACAAGGGGCAGTTTGATACGCTTATAAAGATAGGATATGGACCCCGACTGAAAATTGCTCCCCTTGTTCTATTTTTAGAGTGCAAGATATGAATAGGAACTATATCACATCTTTCTCACCCTATCAAACTGCCTTTATATTGAGAATTTCCAATGGTAGAATTAGAGGTCTGAATCAGAGTACCCCAGTCTAAAAATAGAACTTAGGGGCAAGGTATGATTTGGTTCGATATCCAATCTTTTTCTGAATGTCAAGCTGCCTCTATAACGAGAATTCCAAGTTTCTATGACCTGGCGTTCTCCGTTTGTTGCCAGGGGTCTGGACCAGAGTACCCCAGTCTAAAAATAGAATTTAGGGGGCATCATATGATTTGGGTTTATTTTACATTTTTTCGGCTCGTTATACTGCCTTTATATTGTGAATTTCAACGTTCTATGACCTGGCGTTCTCTGTTTATGACCAAAGGTACAAACCGGAGTACCCTAGTCTAAAAATAGATCTTAAGGGCAAGATATGATTTGGGTCTATATCACATCTTTTTCAGCATATCAAACTTGGTGTTTTCTGAAATCCTTGTATCGGTCCTTGTATCACAATTTGCACAATTTTTCTTCATATCTCCCTCACTAAAACCTATTCTGTACAACCGCAGTTTCCTGATTGCTGTCGACCCGACTCATCACGGTGACGTCACAAACTAGCCTTGATTTTCGCAAGTACTACCTATTTTCAAACTCTGATTAAACACACTTTTGCTGGTCAAATTATGACAATTTTGGTGTCAAACGTATCGGAAAAGATAGGAAAATATAACTCTTAAAAAAAGCAGGACATAAAATTTCGCTGCATAGACACTTTAAGCTATGAAATGAAAAAAAGAGAGCACTCGTAAACATGGGCTTCGGCGCAGATTGGAAAGTGGGGGAGGCCAAGGGAAAAATAAACAATCATAACAAAAGGTTTTGAAAAAAGCTCTATATTTTTGCAAAAATTGGAGGGGCCATGCTTCCAGCACCCTTTCATCGGGAGGCCCTGGAAAAACATACTTAAAATATAAGAGAAGTTAACATTGACCATCTTTTGAAAAGTGCCAAATTTATGCCTTTTGCTATTGTTTTACCGGACATTTTCGTGCGATTATCCAGGGAGGTACCTTCTGCCTTTCAACATTTTTTAGTCCTATTGAAAACAAACGCTATATGTTAAAAGCAATAGCAGTGAGTAGATTCCTTCCAGGAATTAGAAAAAAAGCAGGCCAAAAACGGTTAGCCAGACAATAACACCAAGAATGTACGGCTTTAGTAAATTAAAAGAAGTCAAAATGTATTCTTATATCCGGCTGAACCTGACATTCCTCTAATGGTTTCGAAACATCATGTCAAAAACAAGACGGTGTAATTAAGGGGATCTGTTTCTTAAGTAACATGATAGCGCGACTTGAGCTTGATTTTGTAATTAAATATATTAACCTTAAAGCCAAAAATAGAGCAACTATTAGGAAAAAAGAGCAAAACAAAAACGATTTGAAGAGAAACAATGATTGAAATTTTTTAATAAATTCTGTATTGGTCTGGGATATCCCTAATCGTAGGAGGATGGAGAAAATCTATCAAAGTAGCTATATGGAGCTCTTTTGGCTATGTGTTAAGTTATGGATCTTCTTACGTTTCTTGTTTCTATAACTGATGAGGCTGCAATGTTAAAACAGGAACAATCGACGACGCATCGAATATTGCATCATTCAAACAAACTAGGATGACGATTTAAAGTGAAATTTCCCTAAAAATTCTCCTTTTATACCTTCACTGAAAATTCGACACCATGATCTGTACAGAAGCAAACACTAAGCAACTATTTTATGATGCATTTGGTAGGGATGATATGGAAATGATCATGATGATCAAAATGATGATTACGTTCACGACGATAAAGATAATCACGATTTGACTATGATCGCGATTTTGATGATGATTATAGTGATCATGATTAACAACGCGATGTTCATGACAATCGTTATCAAAATCAATGATGATAGTGATTATAGTGATTACATGTTGATAACAGTGATTACAGTTATTATTGTGATTATAATGATTAATGATGGTTATAGAGGTGGTAATGATGATCATCATAATGTTGGTAATGATGATGTTGTCGTGACACCGTGGATGACGAGGAACATTTTGATTAAACTCTCCCTAAACTCACGTTCTGAGGCTATCAAGCCATGCAAAATCTCTACGTAATCAGACATTGCTCCTTCCTCTATAAAGCCGTATAATCGATTGAGGAATAAACTTGCAAATCGGATTTCGTCTTCATCTTTGCAGTGAAGACGCCCACACCACCTATAAGATTTTAATCCTGTAAACACCGTCTTAATATGTTCGGCTGCTGTTTTCTTCACTGATATTTCTTGGTTGAGTCCTTGCTACACTTTTTTAGATCACATTGGCCTTCATACAAATCGGACGTACACTGCAGAACGGGAGCCTAATGCCGATGCAAGCAGAACAGGTATGCACGTGCCTTTGATTCAAGGATTTACGTTGGGACTTAAAAGGTATTATAATATGCCAAAGGTGAAACCAGCCGATACGATACCATTGGTTAATGCTCTTTGCAACTGATATGTGAAAAATCATAAAATTTAACGAGTTTCTCTGGTAGAATTTTACCGGTGTATAAGATATTTTAGCTCGAGTGGAAACCTTAATTTCCCTAGACAGAAAAAGTAGGAGCACATAAATCCCATTTCTTAAACGAAAGTAACACAGGACTATGTCTTGGTGTTGTAGATCTGAAATGTATGGCAAATTTTGTATCAAATTTCTACGCGGTTGAATGGTCAAAAATTTGTTTGTTTAAATTGGACAAGGTTGTCCCGAAATCATTGATTTTTTGAGAATGTAATTGCAAGTATCATTAACAAAGAATAAATTTGAGAATGACATTAAAACAGAATTCAGTTAACAAATTGCACTGTTTCTTGTTATTAGATAGGTCCTATGATCAATAATGTACAAAAAGTCCTTTATTATATAACATTCATATAGGATGGACAGTTTTCATTGCGATTGCAAGCTCTACAGCCCCTGAGAACCTGCTGAGATACAACCTGCAAATTTCTAGAGGGTCCTCGAAATGCACTAAACCACCGCGCAGATATAATTAAGTGTACGAGCATCCCTGCATATATTTATTTATTCAAACGTTTTGTCACATGCACTTTAAAAGGTGCTGCACATACTTTTCTGGATTTAAGTCCTGGAAATTTCTTGAAAATGGAGGTGAAGTTAAACATGCTTGAAACTACTTCAAAATCCACCTTGTGAAACATTTTTTTGGCATTGACTAGGAAATGGAAAGAAAGTGGTGGGTCTCTTTAAATAGCCTTTGAATGTACCAAGTTTAATACGTACATGTAAACAAATACCTATGTTAACATACTTGTTAACACATAAGATTAACCTAGTTGTGATGAAAAGATGTCTAAAGAGGAGGGTGGAAAGTTCTGGTCAATAGAAAACCAATACCAGTCAACCCACGGAGTTAGAAAAAAGGGTCGCACACTTGTAATAATTAATTTCCCGCGCTTACATAGTTTCAATGTCTCATGCATATAATTGCGAACCTTTCCTTGGTAAATGTACTGAAAACGCACGTCCTTTGAATTTTGCTATCATATTGTCGCAGTACTTAAAGCTCGAACTTCTCAATTATTTATCGAAAATTGCTTTCCCGATTTATGTTGTTCGGTGTCACAAATTGACTACCAAGTCTACTGCACTGAACTAATGGAAGATGTAGCGGCAAGGATTGGGGGAGGGGTGCTAGATAATTTCAGCATTTTGGAGCCGCAGCCTTCAGGTGCATTTTTTACTTTTAGATAAAGAAGATAGGAAGATATATAAAGCAACCTTTCCGAATCATTCTGCTTTTACCGAGTAGCCAAAAAAATGCTTTTTATGGAATCAAAGCAAAATTTACCGAAGGACACAGAAATGTTTGGGGGGCGTTGCACCCCAACGACCCTGTAAATCGGTAAATCTGTGCCTGATGATGTGTAAAAAAGGTGTCTAACGAAATATTGTATGTAGGTTCAGTTGATCTCGACTTTTACTTCCAATCTGTCGCGGCTCAGAACTCAAGATGACTCTCTCTTTTAAGTGTTACCAAACGTGGTCTTCACTGGCACACCTAACATTACCAGAGTGACTTCTTCAATATACTGCTTACCTATCGTTCACGATCATTGCTGTTTTCTATGTCCATCAGCACTGCCATTTAACCCACAATGCATTGCTGTTTTGAAACCATCCAGTCCTATGCTTCATACCCTATGATTTTGCTTTTTAAGCGCGAGTTGAGCTATCTCCAATCTATAAAAAGAGAAAAGGCTTTAGTAATCTAAACAAAGGAAAAAACACAAATGCTGGCTTGCTGTGATTTGGGTTTCGCGATCAGTATCATTTCAAGAAGTTTCCATTTGGTTGTTCGACAAAAATGCTTATAAAGCGATTAAAACCACCTAAACCATTTGGCACAAAGTGCTTGAGAACATTAATGGTACACTTTTTAAAAGCGTTGAAACGTGGGCTTTACATTGTACAAGAATTCATTACTATCGGTGCAAAAGGTCCAAAATGGTCCATCCAACGAGCATGTTTCTAAAAAAATAACAATGCTGTGCCGAAAGTGACCATAAGTGAGGGTAATTTGTGGTTTTGTTTTCGAGTGATGGGACAACTTGGGCAATGAGCATGTTGGTAGATGTCTTGCAACAGGCACAAAATGAAGTACAAAGTACAAATGAAGATCAGCTTGTGTTATTTGGATTACAAATAAGAGATTTGTTGAGTTGGAAAAGACAAACGCAGTTATGTCTGGCATTTTCATAAAAAACCTTCCATTAACAATCTCTATATTGGCGATCATTTGAATTGCTTAGGAGATATATCATTCCTAAATATAAATGGCTTAAACTAGCAAGAGAACGATTATGTATAAAACTTTGCTTAACGAGTCAACATGTATGTCTAATCTGAGAATATGAAAAGGAAACTATCACTCCTGGGTCCACAACAATTAAAGATAAATTTGGAAACCTGTCAGAATTCTGGGTTTTCTTTGTACACATAAATTAATGACAATAAGGAGAGAGCTGTTAATGGTCAAACAAGGGTAGCAAGTTTCAGTTTTCAAGGGGCTCAAAATCAATTTCTACGAATCATGAGATGTGGTCCTTTGACAGAGTGATCTAAAACCTTCGGATACTCCGAGAAAAAACAAACAATAAAAAAGGTTAGCTCCACAGCCATGAAACAGTGGTTCAGACACTGGTGTAACAAACGTTTGGGTGTAACCACTTACTCGAATAGTGTTTTATCATGATTCAAAGGTGATTCAGATATTGGTTAAGAAACTGATACAAAGACATTTTATTGGTTATTTTTCAAAACGTGATTCACTTTTAATCCTGGCACAAGCATATGCGACAAAGTGTGATTGAAACACTATCTAATTGTATCAGATGGATCAGGTTATGTGACGTTCAGGCAGAGAAAGATAATACAATTAAAGGCTTATTATCAAAATTGCCTTGCCCTAGCCAAGCGCATAGAAATGATGTCACCAAATAATAAAGGTAGGGCGAGCAATAAGCATGACTTAGAAATCGAACGGTTTTCGGATAGTGGATTTTTGTACACAGATTAGGTCGATAACAAGGAAAATTAATAACTGAAGTCCTTTAAAGAATGACAAACAGTTCCGTCTGCAGGAAAAATCAACCACAGTAGTTAACAGTAACGGAGAATGAATATGCATGAATGTATCTGTTTCTTCTATTAACTTCCAAATAGGGAGCTGCATATGACAGATGGCTGAGAACTTCAAAGCATGACATCGTATTTCTATATATAAACCTTGAAACATGAAACAAAAACCCATCCACGCCTTCTTGTGTGTAAGCTTTCCAATCGAGTAATGTCATCTATTGCCCGGGTTTGTTGATTCATAACTGACATTTTCAACAGTTGTATAGTATCCTTTTTCGGTAAGGTAAAACGAGGACCTTAACATTTCTGACCTTCTCATTCCAATCCGCTGATGGTCTGCTCAATCGACAAAGTAAGAAGATATTCATGACATGTATCCACGCTCTCTGTTACCTGAAATTGCAGAATTGGTGAAATAAATAGATGCCTGTCGTCTCAGTGGTTAAACAAACGTAAGTTAATTTTGTTTTAAAAATCATGGACTCTGTCTTAACTTCGTTAAGATGAAAACATTTTTTCAAGCTCTCATTTAGGCATCGAATTTTGATAACTAATCCAAGGGTCTTTGTCAACTTGCCGTCTCCATTTCAGATTAACTTTTTCATTTTATAGTAAATAATTTACATTGATTCTTTCAAAATAAAGGCAATGCACAAATAAGGCGAAACAAAAATCGAAGGCTTCCTGGTTCAGATAGGTAACACACTCACGCTAGATTTCCGCATTATGAACACTTTTGTTACACTAGGAATATAATGTACCACTAAATCCAAAAGATAAGAAAGCACTGGAGTAAATATTTAAGTTTTCAATTGAATAAAAGATCGTGTTCATGGTCAGGGGGTTGGATTTTGATTGAAGCCATTTGACTTTTGAAGTTTGGTCAAATAAATTGCAAACTATTCAAAGTGATTCTTTAAATCTTCTTCCATGGCAAATAGCATGCAGTCTTGATCACACATGACAATGACGTGTCTCTTTGGCAAATATGACTCTTCTTTATCAAACACATCGTATAGTGTTATCAATTGATGATGTTGGAAAGATTTATCTCTACAATTTTTTAATTTAGATCAAATTAATTGGAAGAGCATCATGAAATACCACTTAATGGTATGGCTACTTTTTATCAAATAACTGTAATTTTTCTAGTGATCCGTTCGCAAATTTAAAATTTTCATCGGCCATACCTAACCCAGTCCTCGATTGAAGCGGCATATTTTGGTGTATTACTTGGTTTTCTTCCCGCTTAGGCTACGGTTTCAGGTCAAGTCTAATCTAGAAGAAGAACTTTAGTCTCCATGTTTTTATGAACTTTTTAAACCTAACAAGTGAAAAATCTTAGGAATCTCTTGACACATCTCTGCAAAAGTAAATAATATAATTCACTTCATAGGCATAGGAGTAAATAGTTTTTTGGACCAGACGCCACCCAAGAGTTTGGGTAGTGTTATGAGACAACTCTGAATTGGGTTTTTCAAGAGGTGTCTCTATGTCTGGTAGTCATGGTTACATCACCGAATTTAAAAAATTCCTTCCATTCCTGAAAGGTAATCTGAGCGAAATTTCAATCATGATTTTTTCATCATTTCCCATCGTCATCATCCCAACTAAAAAGGTTCTTCACTTTTTTTAAGAAGATTTTTCAAGCAGAAAAAGTTTCTTATTTCGATTATCTGGCTTTTGAGCAAAACAGATCTTTAACCAAGATTTATAAAAGATGACATGTCTGCATCTTTTGATTTCTTTAAAAGTCATTGTCAACTAGCAAAATATCTTAGGTTCAATTGAAAGCTGATGGCTGTAACACTGAGTTTGTTTCAGTAGCAATGGCAAAGAAACGAAATTAACAAATTATAATTTATCTTACGGGATACGGAATCAAGTAAAGAATTAGCACACTAAATCTCACAAGGAAAACATATTTAACTTCCAGACAAACCATCGATTTTGTTTCAAATTAACTAGGTTGGATAATATTGGTTGATTGTGGAGAGAGTCAATAGGAGGGTCATGTATTGACAGTGTCTCTAAAATAGATTCTACTGCAAATAAATTTGATTAAATAAAGATGACACCGTCCAAAAACTTTGAAATCTCACCTTTCACGGAGTCGAAAACTGATTAAATTGCCATTGGTTCAATCGGTAGGTTTCCATTTGATGTAAATCTAAGATAGCAGAAAAAAATATTTCCAGAGGATATTTGTAATGAACGAGGGGCAAATCAGTAGTCCATGGAAATCTCTTACACTTTTGCTGGAAATCTTATTGCTCTATCTGAAAATCCCTAGAATCATTTTGCTTAGGTGGAAATTGCGTACGATATTTACACGAGTTAGTTCCCCCTGGCACTCTGAATGTAAGACATGAATGCAACAATCAGTAGGATGAAAAAGTTACAGAGTCCTCCTTTGGTCTCACTCCAAAGCCCTCAACAAGAAAACCCCTACTCTTCATATATTCGTTTTAAGTACTAAACATGTGTTAAAATTGGCTTCTGGCATTGATCAATTAACAGTTTGTAACTAAACATCTACATCTGTTGTAACTAAACTTAGAACTATAAATTTGTTCCGAAAAGACTTCTCGAAGATATTTATTCCTACAACTACTTCAGAGACCACTGAAGCTGTCCTTTTAACAGAGAACTTCGTTTATCCATGGTTGCTTCACTTATACCAATAAATTAGTTTCTATCTGCTTCTGACGCACAAGCTCTCCCCTTGCACTTTTCATTAAATATTGCTTGTAGTGATTATGCAAAAAGGGTTTGGGATTGACACCAAAATGAAAGGATTTCTAGGGATATTCAGATAATTTTGGAAAATTTTTATACTTCTGTTTTTAGAGGTATCACAGAAGTGTTTCAAAAAACTAATTAACTGCAACATAAATGTACGCGATTTACATGCAGTGATTTTCCCTTCAACCCATAGCCAGAAACAGCTTCCTAAAGGTGAATGACACTTGTTACCTATCTTTGCAAAGAATTCTGATCATTTCTGATAAAAAATGCAAAAATATAGAAAAAACTCCATTTGATTTGAGAGAAATGTTACATCTTAAAAAAAGCAAAACTCCCCCACCAAAAGGCAATATAAAGTGAAGTTTTGTTACAGCACTTTATTTGAACTTTCAAGTTGCCTTTCCTGGTTGCTAGCTGTCTCTGGACAACAGAAGCATATCTAGAGACCATGTGAGCCAAAATCAAGAAAGAAGATTTAAGATGATGAGTTATTAAAACATAAAAAGATGAGAAGCTCAAACGAATTTGGTATTATGAGTCTTTTACAAGTATGGAGCTATTTACAGTATTCGGTAAGAGAGTGACCCATAACATTGTTCAAAATTTATTGGCTGACTGGCACTTACATGCATTGAAGCAGTCCCTCCTTCAATATTTTTCATCACAGAGTAAACCCTAACCAAAGAAGCCTCAAGGAGGATTAGAGACACTTGACTTGTTTTAAACAAATGTTGCCAATTGAAAAGATTCCTAATGGGTTTTGTAAATAAATTTTTGAAATGACTGTATTTCAGTGCAAATTAATGATGGGGGAATATTTCCAGCTGTTCAGACTCCAATTTTTACAAAAATAGATGTTATCATTTACACTCCAAACAGAAAAACAGTGCTCAAATTTAGAGCAAAATATGAAACTTTCTCGAAGCTTAACATTTCTAATTTTAGAATCGTACCCAATGATAAGAAAGCAGATATTTAATATCTAAAACCAATTTAAATCCAAAAAGGATTACTTAAGCAAAAACAGGCGTTGTGCTACTAAGCCCAAAACTATTTTCCTTTTCACTCTCTGGATGGTGGGTGATGCAAAAGAAGAAAACAACAGGCTAATCGGAAAACCTTAATAATAAATCCTGATTGTTTTGTATGTTCCCTTTAAAGATCAAACAATAAAAGGGTTTCAATAATAGAAAGCATTTTATTGCAACTTTCTACAATTTCTACAATTTTGAATTTAGAAGTGTAACTGTGGTAATTAGTGTCCTTATTTGGGCTTCCTTTTCCAATTGGCCTGTCTAATTTTACCTTTGTTCCAGTAGGTGCAAGGTGGGGAGTAAAGAGAACATACGCTCATTTGCAGGATTGAAAATGATCCCTTTTCTCTAACATTCTATACACCATATAAAATTTTGCCATGTGCTTTTAACAAAATGAATAAAATATCTGTTAAAAATCGTGTCAACAAATATAAGCTATCATTTCAAGGACTTGGCATTAGAAAGACTTGTTTGTTATCCAATTGTTTTTGAGTCAATTTGTTGTTTTGCTAAAAATCTCGGGAGTTAAAAAGATTCCACATAAGAACAAAAAGATTTTCATAAATCTGCTTCACACAGGACCCTAGGTTCTGATTACACCTTTAAGCATTACGTTCTTTAGTGACTTAATACCCATCAAAATACTGTACAAAATGGGTTCACACTGCTTGGGAGACAGAGAGAGCTGCAATGTACAGCATATATACCTACACACTTTTATCTTACAAGAATACTCAATCTTTGCTGAGCTTCAACATTCTTAATTTTCTTTATTTTGAGCCTAAGATTATTTTTAAGCGACACAATGTAATGTATAGCTGGGTTGCATAATACTGTTTATGACTCCCCAAACCAATCAGCAATTTGGATTTCAAACTCGAGCGGCAGTCTGCTATGCTTCTTGACAAGGAACGGTTTTAATAAATACTAAATAACTTTAAATAAATAGGCTACTCACAACATGGGTACTTCGTATACTTGCGACTTGTTTGAAAATGAAAACATCGCGCACGTGGCCTGGGAAGCATTAACTGTTGCTGTTGTTGCGACTTATGTTGTTGCTGCTTTGTTGTGGAGGGAAAATCATATGAGCCATGACAAAGCTCGATTCTATAAGACGTTATTCAAACAGAAGTAATTCCTAGTTTCAGCAATTGATCAGAGAAAGATGGAGGTAGATCTCCTGGAGATAGGAATGAACAGTCCATTGCAATCAACTCATCCGAAGATGGTCATTAGACGGTTTGCAGGGTCATGCCTCGCCTTGCTCCATCTTCCCCTACTAGACCTATGAATGACCTTACCACAGTGATCACATGCACACAAATTTTATCTTTATGGGTCCGAGAGCTCATCAGGAGTGTACATAACTGAGTGGAGATGAGACTGGAAGGATCATTGTTGGGACGATGCCGGATATTTCAAACTAGTATGGAATATATTGCTTTCGTTTCGATTTTTAACGGTCCTGTGCAGACTAACCAAAAGGAGACCAAGGAAGAAAAGACTCCCTTTTGTGCTTGTTGAGAGCAAGGACCTAATCTATTGGTCACACCATATCATAAGATATATACAGTTGATTCAAACTCTCAGTTTTAGGCTGCTATAACTTCTACCTTTTAAGCACATTTGACATGATTTGAGAAAAGCACATTTGACATGGTTTGAGAAAAGGACCCCATTTGCAGTTGTCATACAAATCTAGTATTTAGTCAGTTGCCATCCTTATGGGGTCGTTGGCAATGAAAACTTTTTTTGAAGCACCTGTCAGCTGTGATACCAGAGATACTGCTACCTCTTCCTGGAAACTGGCCTGAGTTTTATAAATGACAGCAGTTTTGTGCAGGGCTTTCAGCAACAGGTATGCTATTGCTGGTTTTAGAGAGTTAGATTGAAACACTGGTTAGCAGGATCAGCAATCGTATTATTTCCGTGAATAATGTAATGCCAATATCACTGCATGAAAATGTGAAGGCAATCTTCCCTCTGTAAAGGTGGGGGTACAGATTAAGGCTAGGGTGCAGCAGAAATGGGAAACTAGCCAATTAGGGAGAAAAATAGCCAAAATGTGGATATTGCCTTTTCTTGAAGCTAAATAGGTGTTTGATGCAATAGCTCAGCATATCCAGGTGCAACTAATTACCTTTAATTTTTTTCTCTGCTTTTTTTATAATGCTTAATTTGTTACTTATCACTTTTCAGACATGTTTTATTTTCCTGTTCACAGAAAAGCTGTTACCAGAAATTGACTTCAAATTAGACACTACATCAAAGGTATATTGTTTGTATGTCATTGCTATGTATTCTGTGTATTGCATTACAATGTTCTAAACCAATAATCTGCTATTTGTAAGTGAAATAAAATGTCACTTAAGACAGTTTGATTATAGCACTACACATCTGATTTGTATTTATTGCAACAGTGGGGTTTGAGCAGGTTTCTGGCGAATCTTCTATGTAAAAGACTCAGTAATGTGAAGATCCATGTCCTTTCTATTAGCCCCAAACTAAAATAAACATGTAACAAAAACAAGAAGCAGTCTCGTGGAAACGTGTTCTTTTGCGTATCAGGATCATTTCTATGTAGCCTGCAACTCCCCTTACCTGCAGGGATGCCTTCTTTATTCAATTATGCGAGGGAGAGGAGAAACTGTATATCTGGTTGATTCTTGAAGATCTAAAGATAGAAGATAAAGAGCCTGTGAGGGCTGCACCCCTCTCCTAATTAGGCAAGATCTACCACATTTAAGGCTCAATTCAGGCTCTTTTACCTCAACAAGCCAACAATATTTGGGCAAGACTCCGTAACAAGCCTCCCCCTAAAGGTTTTGCATTTGCTACACCCATACTCAAAGTTCACCAGTCACATCATGAATCTTGCCATGAATGATGCTCACTAGACTGTTATTTCATGTAGCAAAGGTAGAGGAGCCACAAAACTTTTTTTAAGATGTTGTTCCATTTGGATTTTAGTCGGTAAAATTGGGATTTAGACGGGTAGATAAACTTTTTTGTAGAAAATTGTACTTCATGTAATTTTTAAAAACATTCAAAGATATTTTAAAGTTCTGCAGTTCAGTTTTCCGTTGATCCAGAAGAGAATTTTCAGGAACATCACAAAAGAAAATTAATCCCAAGATATTTGACAAAACAAATACAATTTTAGTCTGGGAGATGCCTTTTATAGCCATCCTAGAAGGCTTATTTTAAAAAAAATTCTTTCGCGTCGGACCTATGGTGGGTCCTCCTATGTCACTAAACTTGATTCTTAGCCCCCTAGGCTCAGTTTTGTGGCTCCGTCTCTGAAACTGCGAAGCACAATGCACCAGGTCGTCTACATCTCTTTACGCTAATTTCTTGCGAGAAATACATTTCACAGAACTTATCTGTTATCAAGAAGTGGGTCCAGTTGAAAAACAGAAGAGTTTTATTCAGTGTTTTTAAAGATTGAATAAAAGTACGTGACCACAAAAGCTTATTCAAGAACTTTCATAAAACTAATAGTTTTAAAGCTGAAGTTGCTTTGTAATAGCTGAAATTTAAATATTAACAATGCTAAAATATTATGATCGCATTAACGGAGTGTAATGCTGCCAAAATGTACTCGGTAGATAAACACTTGCACCAAAAAAACAATTTCCTGAAACCGGGCCTGTTCAAGACACGTCACTGGTTGTTTTGTCTGAATGGAAATTATATAGATTTTTGATTCAATTAATGCCGATGAAAACAGATACGATGAGAGTAGAGAGAATAGAGATGAGAACAAATTAAGGGGATCCCACGCAAAGATGTCTTCAAATAAATAGAAAGAAATAACAACGGCCAACTTTTTGTATCAACCAGCCTCCCTGAGCCCCCTGGCTCTATACCCCTGCGTTGCATACAGCTTGTGAAAATTTCCCTGAATTTTTTAATCTTTAGATAAACTGACAAATATCTTCCGTGGAGACAAAATTGCTCCAGTTCAGTGGCGGATTTAAGGGAGGCAACTGGGGGCAGTTGCCCATCCCTCGACGAATTGAAGCAAGTCTGACGCCCCTTTTTGGAAATTGTGCGCCCCTTTTGAAGAATGAGAATCAGGTGAAAAAGTTTCTGAGACCGATAGGTTAATTTGCTTCAAGGATAACCTCAAAGTTATGTTGTATATTCCGGAAATGGATCTGAAATTGTTGTATACAGCATACTCTCATCATCAATTTTCGAAGAAATTTTCAGCGCCCCCACTACCGACTGCCCTCCTTCGAGTTTGCTCTGGATCCGCCCCTGCAGTCCCGTTATGTCAGTTATTTTTCATTTGTTTTTATCAAACATGATTGTCAACGTCGCCATGCTCGGATATTTCCCACGGGCTATCAAACGATATGGCATTGCTAACTGTTCGAATGAGGTTTTTTACAATAAGGATCGTGTAAATATTTTTATCGTTTATAATCTTGTTGTTAGACGTTTTTGTTAACACCCATGATTGTAATCATTTTCTGTTCTGTTTAGTCGATTGAATATTTTTCCATGTTGAGACTCCCATTTTTAGCAGTGATGGGAGAAGAAATTGGCTTTGTTACTGCTCCGAAACATATTTATTTAAATAGTTTCAATTTTAAAAACTGAATTTCAATTAAAATCAGCCACCACTGATGAGAAACGCTAAACTGAACTTTGGATCGCACTTTTCTGTCAGAGACAGGTGCGTCAAGAGGGGGCAAGGAGGGGCAAAAGGTCCGGGGCACGTGCTCCGATGGGGCCCGTAATAAAGTAACAGGATCTATTCATAATGCAAAAAGCTACTATTTCAGCTACGTATATCGAATCAACGCATGCAGCTTTATCGCAGAGAAATGTCTACAGGTCCTTGTTTCATGTAAAATGTTTTTGCAAGTCCTTTTAAAAATCCTTAAGAAATTTTTTCAACAATAGTACGTAAAAAGGCGTTTCCCTTGTTCTCTGGGAGACTGAAGGGCGTGGCCAAATGAAATTTTCTAAAGGGGGTTCTGTTTTGTGAATCACCCCTGGGCCTGAGCTTCTTCTCGACGGCCCTGGTCAGAGAGTAGCTTAAACTAAACCAGTATTTGAGTTTGAAACTGTACAAAGTTGGGGTACAACCATTGGCACCTCCAGTTCAATAGAATTTTGGAACTCTGTATTATTTTCATCTTTTAGATAGCCTGTGTCCCAGACCCTTAACCTGAAAGTAGAGGGTCTATGTAATGGAGAGCCAAATCGCGTACGGGGATTTACTTTCAAGTTAGGCGTCTGGAGCACAGGCTACTTTTAGATAGCCGTTCTTTTTGGCTGTTTGGACATTTTTACTGTCTCCGGTTGTTGTTGGGGCAGAAAATGGAGCTGGGGGCAGTGGATGCCTGTCTGTTGGTTGATGTCCTGTCTGCTTGTTTACTTGCGCTCGTGTTATATATTTATGTACATGTGTTATATATTTTGTTTTTCTTTAATTTTCTTTGAACACTGGTGTTAAGCTTCCTTTAGAAGTCAATCAGTATATTATTGGTAGATAGATAGATAGGTAGCTCCTTCATAGGATCTTAAATGCAGTGTTTTCAGACAAACAGTATGCTTCGAAGGGAGAGGGCTGTCGCTCGGCTTAAACCAATCAACGATCAAATAGCTTGGTTTAAACCAACCAAATCAGAGAACGATTAAGTTCTTTTCAGAGGTTGATCAACAGTTTAACGATCATACACGCAATTCGCCATATATATTGACACACTGTCTTTCTTTGTATTTAAAGAGTGGGAAAAAAGCGCCAATCACAGTCTGCTCGGTTCTCTTATCGGAATCTTATAGAGCTTTACTGCCTAGGTTTTGTAGCATTGTTGCCAAAGTATTTTCTCCAGAAGTTTAACTTTTGCGTGTTTCAAATCTCATTTTTTGATAACAAAATAACAAGAAATCATAACATTGATAACTGAGACCCAGAGTATGGCGAATTATAACTGGTAAATGAAAAAAACACAAACGTAATTATCATAAAAAATATCGGTATTGTTTGTAAAAGACCAAAGAGATTGGAATTTGGAAACGTCACAAGAGAAGAAGGTCTTTGTAAAGACCCTTTTGTTGAACTGTCTCGTCGCTGCTGATCGCCGTTCTAAAGAGTCGCTTCTCTATGCGACTGCTGGTCTTTGCGTCTTCCTTGCTGGCGTTATTGCATTTTGTGCAGGTGTCCTGAGGGCTTAGTTCCATTGGTCTGTTGTTTGCATTAGCCGTGTTTATGGCATGAGATTCAAATCCAACGCATACAAACTGAGGGATCATTTTGACCAAAGATTTTTTATAAAAACCCATTTTCCAGACTGCTTTTTCTGTTGCGAATAAAGAAGATTTGTTTAGATGTGTATCGTGATATGATACGTTAAGATGGAGCCCTTTCAATATTAATTTTTGTATTCCGACGGCAAACCACTTTCAACGAGCTGATTTTATGGCTCCTTTTGAAAATGACGCACGTCATTGTATTTCGAGTAGATTTATGCCTTTGAGCGGGGGGTATTGTTCTGCGTGACAAAGCCGTTTTTCTTCAGTAGAAATTTAACGACAGTAAGTTAGAATAAAATCGTTAAGTTATCAGCCTGTAGCCAAGGAGTTGTCTTCCATTCACAATCGTTTTTGTGAATGCAACATTTTTGCTGTTTCTCATAGATACACGTGTTCACTGAAAGATCATGGCCAGACAAGAGTGTCTTGCTCCTCTCCTACTTGTTCTCGGAATTCAGCTGGCGTCTGCTTTGGGTGAGTGTATAAAACTGTTTTGTTAAAATTAGATATTCAAATTGATAACATTGAACTTTTGGCTATAAATCTCGTTTTTAGAAGGACACACACTCCGTTGTAAAATCCCTGCCATACTATTGTAGGCGAGTCATGGGTTTAACTCTGATTATTCGTTTTAGTTGCCTCTTTTCAATAGGCTTTCTGGATATCAAGTAAAGTTGTGTTCCGTTGCGATCCCAATCGTATTGTCAAAAGAACAAGACATCATGAGATTTGCTTAAAAACATTTGTTGATGCCGAGCACTGCTTAACTGATTCTGGTTACCTATAGTTTTTGTTGACGCTTGAGTTGGCATTGAACATAGGTTAGCCTGTGTTTCTTGGTACTTTCATGTCTTGTGTCTGCGATGAGCCAAAAATGAGCAAGGGCGAAGGATATTTCAAGACAGACTCCTTGTATATTTCTCTGTTTATAATTCTATGCTTCATTAATCGGGATTGGACATTTGCGGGGAAGGAATGAAGGGAAAACATAGGGTACAAGTCTTCGTTGATGTTCCCAAGAAACAGCTCTTCAGAAAAAAATTACGCATGCATCTTATCCTTAAAATTGTTCAAAAATAACCAGTGTGACGAAACGATTTAGGGAAACAAAACGTTTTTCATTTTAACTATGCAGTGTCCAATGCAACTAATAACCCCCTATTGGAATTGATTATCTCTTAAAATATTCCAGGATTGATATGGCAAATCGACTTAAATGGTTTTGCTTTTATTCAATGATAAATTTTGAGATGTCAGATGTCAGTATTCAAAACAGAATGAAAAGACTCGAAGCTATTTCTTTACAAATGTGAATATTTTTCAACAGAATCTCGTTAATCTTAGCTTTGACCATTTGGTATACATTGAAAACAAGCAGACTGTCCAAGTCCAGGGCAGTCCATGTGTTGCGCAGAAATGTTGTATTAACGGGAATATTCCTAGCCTGCGTGAAAGATCATATCTTTCTCAGTCACGGTCTGTGACGCTGGCTAGAATATTCCACGTCCAAACTGTAGGAATCAGTCCACTGAAATGCCGCTAGGTCATCTGTTTATCAAGCGTAACTCCATTTAACGGACCTGAGTTCAATATCAAGCAGATATAGCCAGGTTGATCATCGTATGTCCTTTCTGAAACTCCCGACTAAATCAAAGTGAGAAGCAGCACCCTGTTTCTTTGGGCGTGGCTCCTTTTAATGCGCTATGCTTTATTCACGATACCAAACATCAAGCACTATTATGCCGGGATCTAGTTTTATTTACCAATAACAAATAAGTAGTCTGGCTTAAATTTGAGCACTTCCTTTTTGTCTAGTATATCTCTATCAACAACAAATACGTGCTTTTTGGTATTTGACAATGGTATATAATGATTCACAACAAATCGAGTTTTCCATCTGCCAAATCCCCACTGTTTGGTCAGGGCACCATCATTGTTATTGAGAAATTCAAAGCCTTTTTATGATGCTAGAATTATCTACCAGGAATTGTGGTTTAGTCAATCAGTTCGAGTCAATCAGCTCTAAGTATGTAATCCAAAAAATGTGAATATGTAAAAGTCATATTTTTACCCAGAGGCCTTGCTAGAATGCGGACTCCCAAGCGTCCTTTCGAAAAGGCATACCGCAAATCCTCGAATTTGCCCCCTCAAAAAGCCCCTACTCGAATAAACCCCCGCCCTAGAACCATAAATTGTCAGTAAGCTTCCTCGAATAAGCCCCCACTGCTACCGTAAATTCTCGAATTGGCTGCCCTCGATTTATTGATTTTGCCATCTGAGGTTGCCTTTGGCATTTTATTGAATATCCACAAAAATTCATATTTTTGGTAATAATTAATTAAATGTTCATAAAGAAATTCCTATTAAAATATACAAGGTCTTTTATTAATGTCTTCTTAATGCCTATTGTAATTTTATAAGCCCCCTCTCGTATAAGCCTCCCCCTCGAATAATCCCCCATCTAAAAATATTAAAAAATAAGTCCCCGGGGGGCTAATTCGAGGATTTTCGCTATCCTTCTCCTACATGACAACAAATTTGCTTCCAAACAACTGGTATTTTATCATTGCAACCAAACAGAATCCTACTGACACCCATGCCATCATTTTAATCCTCATCATTTATTTTTCGAATACCCAGAACCCTTGATCTGTTCCTGACCTGCACAAATCCTTTCAATGTAAGTTAAGACTATATTTTCTGTTTCCCAAACGCGAGTGCCTGAGATATTGCAGACGATCCACTTGAATATGTTTTCTCTCTCTCTCTCTCATTAATTTTCTTGCTTTTGCTATGGTTTAACGTGTTCCGCAAAGTCTTTTTACCCGTGTACCCGTGTAAACAGATTTCTACTATTTCGATTTTAGAGATTCCTATTCAAAAGCCCTTTAAGTTAATTTTGTAATAGTCACAACAAATGTTTTGGCATTGAGCTGATTGCCTTCCAGCCCTTTTTCCCCAACCAGGGGTCTATGCATTTATCTCTGTGTTCATTTGTTGTTAGACCCCCACTACGTTGCTATTTCTCCTCGATTTTCGTTATTTTACTATTTCTCTGCACTCCTGTGAGTAGGACACTTAGATATTTCCAGCGATTTGTGCTGGCGTGCAAGATGCTCAATTTAGCCAGCTAAATAGCACTGCTTGGTTTGTCAAAATCTCAATATAAAGTTTGATCCAATTGTTGATTTGAGAAATATATTGTGCTTAAGGGTTAATACCCATAAATTCCCAGATGATCTTTTTGTCATATCAACCTTTGGCTCGCATTGCAGATAATTAACGTTAAAATGACGTCACACACGCAATCCGCAACTCATTTGCAAGTGCTTTCATCACGCTGTTGTTAATTGGCCTTTAACACTTTACTTCGCATTCGCCTCTTTTCCTTAACTAGCCAGCCAGTAATAATTCTGATAACTGAACTTCTGTCAAGAGAGTTTGTAAGGCCCCTATGTGCGTGTGTCCGTGTGTGTGTTCCTCCCTTCCATCGTTTTCCTGGTGATGCAAATAAACATTTATCTTGTCCTCAGGTCTCCGGCAAATTTAACTTGTTTTAGGTACTATCGTCCTCGTTTCTATAAAACTGATTAATTGGGATCCTGCTAAGCTAGTTTATACTAGGACTTTGAGCACCGATTTTGGATTTTAGTCATACTCCATATGCAAACACAATTTTAATGGTAACAATGACTGTTACTCAGTCGCGATAAGCATTTAATAATGATAATGATAAAAATTACTAGTATTTTAATAAGTTGAATTGATCAAAAGTATCGTTCTGTTATCGTTCAAGCACCTGTAGTTCGTTTCTAAGCTTCACTTCGTATGTATTAGAGCTCCTCTTTACTCGGTGTGCAATATTTATGGAAATATTTTATCGCAAATATTTGATGTATTTCAGAAATCGACGTCACAGATTCATTCAATTTGATTGACGGCTCGAATGGCGTAAGCAAATCAAAGTCTTTGGCCTCGTATCCAATCTACACTTTCGAAAAATCAAAGTCTGCGTTCATTGCAGATGAGAAAATCACGAAGGAATTCCTTGATTTGTTGGCACAGTTCGACCAGTTTATTATTTCATTTTATGTTAAACCGCAGCCTCATAACAAAGGGACGTTGCTATGGATTCAAAACAAAAAAACAGGTTTGATGTCACATTCACGATCATTACGTAGAGATTTTGTTATTGTGTTCGTAATATTTTTCAAAGCCAATACTATTCCTTCTTTTAATTTTACGGTTAACGGTTTCCTAAAGACCTTTTGGAAAATACTATTACAAATAACCAATCAAAGTCCAGGAAAACATTCTTCCGTGGGGCATTTCCATCGGCTCTGAAAATTTTCCATGGAGCAACAAAGAAAGCAGGGTGTAGTTTGGGTGTGACCTTTAATTGTCTTTTGTTTTCGCTTGCGTTCCTCACTTTGGTTGACAATCTGCCCGCCATGTTGTATGGACTCTGACATTATCTTTGTTAAATGTGTAGTTCTGAAGAAAGACTTGCAACTATAGAGATAGGGAGATAAGATATCAAATCCCGCCGTATCACATAAGTCTTTAGTTTTCTTGTGTTTTTAATTGATAGCCAAGTTCTAGTTATTTCCACCGTGGTTAACCACATATGGCTAGTATCTTTATCTTTTACAAGACTGTCAAAAAATTGCATCCTACGTTCATTATAAAAGTGCAGAATGCTTGTACAGGATTAGGTTGTGTAATTGGAATTTTAAATTTAGCGATAAAACGATGCTTTTTACATCAAAGACATGTTTTGTTCACTAAGTATTCATCGTCAGTTTATTAAGAACTTCAGTAATCATCATCAGTTAATTTGAAACAGAAACACACAAAGTGAAATGGAACAAAGCATTACTAAAGCAAATTATATTTTATCATCCGCGGTCTGATTGCATAAAAAGAGAATAGATATTATTGCAGCTAGGTTTTATTCTCTCTCTAATGAGAATGCAAACCTTATTATCCTTCAATTCTCTGATTATTATGTTCAGTTGAAATAAATTCGGGGCTACTCAAATTTTATTTGACGTTTTTTCGCTGTAGCGCAAACGTTGTTTGGACTCTGGTTCAGAACGGGTATAAAGGCCAAATTGAGTATGCCTCACTTCGTACACCGAAAAACGGAGCATATGACATTCCACAATATTGGTAAGTCTTTTACGGTATAACTAGGCCTCGAATTTTTGCCTAGACTTGTAAACGTTTCTTATTGCTGGGATATTTTTGATGATGCATTTGGTAAGGGGCTTTTTAAATTCCATCTTGTGAACGGTAAAGATGCAGTATGTGGTTAGCATGAATAAACAAATTTGCAAAATATCACTGAAGTTGGTAGAAAAAAGTGATATTAAATGGGTAGGAAATACAGAAATAGCCTAACGATGGTATTATATGTGTCAGAGCAGTGAGGGTTGAAATATTTTTGTAATGAGATACTGGTGACTTTCATAAAAATCGGTAGAATATTTAATAAAGGTTACTGAAGCCTTTGAATCAAGTGAATTGGTGTCCAGTGTGGGAACCTACGTTCACCGTTCTACCGTGTTGCTTCTGATCTCTTAATTGGCCAGCGGCTCTATTATGAATACGTTCAATGCATGCGGATTTCTAACTTTGTCACTGGATTTTAATGCTTAACTACCTGGATTATTATGAGCTTATGTGATAAATGGTTTTCAGTTGAAGTCTGTTAGCCAAAAATGCAATGCAGCGCGGTAGTTTGTGAAAAGACATTTAAACACTGCACTGTATAACATATATTTTTTCTATAATTTTCTCATCTATGATTTTTCTCTCACAGGAAACTTAAAAAACGGCGAGTGGCATTACATAGTTATTCATGTCAAGCCTATGTTTGGTCTGGTGCGCAACGTTGATTTGTATGTGAACTGCATCAAAGTTGCTAGTATGCAGTCTCCGTTTGACTACCAAAATGCCCATGGTGATGACTACGAGATGAGAATGGCACAACGTGGAGTGCAGCATTTTACTGTTGCTAGATGGAGGGTAAGGTCATTCAATAAGACCACTTAAGCCGCCAGTACCGCGAATCCTGCCGCTGATTGGTCATAAACAAGTGCCATTCAAAATGCATTGTTTTCCCCTCATGTTACTTTCGGTCTGCATCTGGATATGAACTACTGCTTGCCTTTGGGTGTTATCCGAGGTTTTTACTCTGAGGATTTTGCGGCAAAAAGTGTTTTAGTATACTATATTTCGACTTTTCCATGCTACCATTCATTGTATAAAGTTTAGCATGCTCGCCTTGTGGTAATTAGCTTTGATATACACGCAATTTGCCTAGCAGAGTAGCTTTTTAAACATTAGTATTCCCCTCAGAAAGAAATCCTTTTAGAGCTTAAGAGAACACGGCATGGCGTGTATCAGTAGAGGACCAATTTAGCAAATCAAGGGCTCCAAGCGTTATCTAGAATTTCTGAAACAGCTGGGGGGAAACAAAGGAATTTATTCCCACTTCTTTTTTTGATAACCTCCCAAATTCGCGAATAAATCCTTCACTCTAACACCAGAAGCCTCTTAAGAATTGACAGGAACGTTTCTCATCCTGTTTGTTATAGATTTGATTTCTATTTTGTTAATTTTCCCTTTCATCATAGGGAAGCATATCGAAGTTTCTAATGACAGTAAACCGTGATATAAGAAAGTTTGTTGAGTCAGAAAAGTGTCATGTTCGAAAAAATCTTGAGAAGTCAGTTTATGAACGGGAAACAGTTGCAAATGCCCCACGTAAGTGGCTTTATATTATTCAAAATTTATACTTTTGAAACATATTTGCGTAAATCGGCCTCCTTTCTCACCTTTCTCTTTATTGTAAGCACTTACAGTTTAGACGTTAGGACATTATCATTTGGGTGTTCACTTGACTTCACTTCACATACTTTGCTCGACGTGAATTGGGCTTCCCAAATCTCAAAGTTTCTTGAACTCAGACTTATTTTGCTATTTAGTTCTGTGGATTTTGCTCTCATCTCAACAGTGCTTAGCTGCATCTTCATTTCCCCTCTTAGCTGTGGCTCGATTGCCCGGACGGCAAAACTCTTTAACAAGAAAGGAGCTTGGGGCCTTACTGGACGCTTTCAAATCCGGCAGCCAAGAAGGTGGCTTGGTAAAAGAGATTCTTGATATTGTTAGAGATGTCAGGGAGTTGCAGAATAACCAGGTTTGTGTTATCACTTGGGAAACGAACAGCTATAATTCATTTAGTGAAATCATTACTCCCGGCCATCCAGTTAGTGCGCACGCACAGCCACTTGAGATCATTGTTGCGCATGCTTTTTCGTCTCTGTAGACGGGGTAACCCAGTGATTATAAATTTTGCTCTTTCTGGGAAAAAATGTTTGAAAATATTCGATAACGATCTACCTAGGACTGCAAATGAATAGGCCAGCCTAACAACACACTATTATAATGCTGTTTCGTTATACACAGTGATAGATCATACAACAAATCACATCGTGTTATCACAAAGTATCATATTCTATTGGTTTTATTCATTCTTTTTTCGTATTTTCTTTAGGTTGGGGAGCTGAAGACATTGAGGGAAATATTACAGCAACTAGCAGGAAACAGACATGGTATTGTGCTTCTTGACAGTAACAAATACAATTACTGTAAAGTTAAGCGTTGTTCGCATGTATTTTGCGAAGAGATTGAATCCATGGGCTTTTCTTATAATGCTATAAAAAGATGACCTTTTATCTAGAAGACAGATTTTAAACAGTTGAACCAGACTTAGGATAACGTTTTGTGATTATCTTGTGCAGATCTCTTCAAGAACGATTTAGCCATCTGCTTCGTACATTTTTTTTAGCCATGGCTGTTTTCCCCATTTTTCTATATTTTTAATCTTATTTTTCATAGGCCCATTTGCTTTTTACATTTACTAATTATCTGATACATTGATTCACTAGAAGTCTCAATTTTGCTTTCCTACACTGGATTCTGCAAGCAATGAGGTTTTACAACTTTACATTTAATTTCATTTTCCCAGTTGTAGCCACACTGTTTGTTACATCAACACGAAGTTTTGACCAAAACAGACGCAATATGGAATTTAATGCCGTTCTTTTGACAATCTGTCAATCACAACTTGCTCTTGCTCTACACTAAATCATTTTGCTATTTTCTCTTTAGTGATTGTCCAGTCAAACACCTTGGTTGGTTCAAACTCAAATGGGACAAAAAGGAACGCAATAAACTGTGACACGAACCCGTGTTTTCCATTTGTCAAATGCATTAATACTGAGTATGGACCTGGGTACCAGTGTGGTGCATGTCCACCCGGATTTTCTGGCAATGGGGCAAACTGCTCTGATATTGATGAGGTATCTATTTCAAATTATTTTGGTAAAAGTCTGTTCTAATTTGATCAATGTCATACGGTTAAGAATAATTCGTGAACTTTTGCTTAAGTCTGCCACATGAAAATTAAACCTTTTTAGGCCAAGTGGAGTCGTCAAAGTCCTTTTTCGAAAAAGTTGGGACCTTGCTGAACCCAGAGTGATCCAAACCCTGAACTTCTTTTCAGCTTTTGCTGCCGTTGTATATTATTTATTTCATTTACGTCTGGCCCATCTGGAATTATAGTGACTATGAAGATAATTCTGCCGATGATTCTTTTTCAATTCACGGTTGTGCTTTTCATTATTATATATCCCCTAATTTAAATGAAAGTCCAATCGGATTTAGTGATAAGGAAAAGTTTCTTAGCAAGATAGTAAATCCTGTAAAAGGGCTTTCAGTGAGTTTAATTATAATTTTGCAATCACTGTAGAATAATTCTGATTATTTATCTTTATTGATTATTTTAATGTTGTTTCTTTTCAGTGCAAGTTGAATCCTTGCTCCCCACTAGCTTCTTGCGTGAACCGTGTTCCTGGTTACATCTGTACAGATTGCCCATTTGGGTATCGAGGGAAATCCATTATTGGTCTTGGTATAAAGTTTGTACAGGAGAACAAGCAGGTGTTGTGACCAAGTTACATCATCATTAATTGACAATCATGATTGTTGTCGTGACAATCGTGATCAAATTTATTATCAGCATTGATCATTTTCACCATCGATCATTATCAGCGTCGATTATCATCACCATCGATTATCATCACCATCGATCATAATCAGCATCGATCATTATCAGCAGCTTTCACTGTAAATCATCGCAATCATCATGTTATCATCCCCTGTAATCATGATCTACATGATCGCAATCATATCGATCACTTTCTTCATTACATCATCCGACATTATCGATCGTTATCATCAAAAATCATTGACACGGTCGTGAACCCTGGTAATCAGAGCCCTTAATCAAAACTGCATTTTCAAAGTTATTTTTCTGATATGATGTTTGAATAATTTCTTTTAGATAGAGCAACTATCTGATCTGCTTTAATTAAACTCTATCCTTTCAGGGATTTGTGAATTTAACTATCTATTAATCCAATAATTTCTGGTTATCAGTCTGATGCTAGAACATTAAAGTGTTAATCAGAAAGCTGACATTTGACGAAAACGTCTAGAGTTCTCGAGTTTGTGGCTTCACATTTTTCACTGAGAATATTTCTATATATGACAAGAATTTCAGGAAACTAAATTTCTTTGGATCCCTTCTTTGGAACGTTGTTGAAATCGTTTAAGCTCTTGAAAACGCTGCTGTCATGAATTTTCATATTTTGTCAGTGAGTTAGGATGTTAAAAGAAAAAGACAAACCTTCTTTGATACCTAAAAATTGCAAGTGACCTATCCATGGTATTTTCTGCAGTTTCCAAATGACCTAGGGGCTTTTTTGAAGGCTGTACCAACATCTGTCGTGTAATGTGCTTTTGCCATTTGTCATAACTACCCCCTAGTTACGTTTTAAGGGCCCAAGTTTACGCCATTTCAGCTTTTTTATATTAAGATTTTGTCTTAAACCGTGTTAAATAACGTCATTCTTATAGACATCTTCCAGTTGTCTCTGCTCAGTGCAGATGCTGGAAAGCATTTGCATATCTTTTCGTTTGGTAATGCAAAAACAGAGGCAAAACTCAACATTGAGCATCTTTTTTTAGAGAAAATGCTAAAAGACGATAAGAAAATCTATCCAGTTCTCCGCTTTCCTTCTAGGTTTGTGAAGATATTGATGAATGTAAAGAGAAGAAACACAACTGCGATCCATTAGCAGAGTGCATAAACACAAAGGTACAGTGGCCTTTCCCTGCCACAAAGTTTTAGTGCAAATACTTTTGCTGTTTCTCTTTGTTCATAAGGGTATGGATCATTTCCACCCCCCCCCCCCCAAATATCTATGAGCCTTATTCAGGATTCGTGTATATCTGCTGTTCATCCCAGCTTTAATATGATTGAGTAAACCCTGGCTAAAAGCAGCGAAGGAGCGAAGTATCTGTATTCTGAGTCCAGTAGTTTTATGATCCGCTGGCAGCGCGCATACGCAGTAAACCGCTGACATTCGGGGAAGCAATGTCAGCTACGATATGATCAACTTTTGTATGTTTCACAAATGCAACATGAACTTTCATTTGAATTTCAGCTGACTTATATTGACGGCTTCAGTGTTCTCATTACTTAGGTTTGCAAATATTCTCAGTTGCACTCATCACGACGAAGTTTGCTTTTAATCCTACCATTGAATTGTATCTATTGACACTTCAAAATGCATGGAATAGATGAATCGCCGTATTAATAGTGTATCAAATGGCTTTGCGTTTTTCAACTTTTTTCTATCTTAGTTTAAACAACACTCGAAATTATTGGCGCTAATTATCAGAATGCTATCGCAGCTTCTTGCCACTACGAAGGAGTGGTTTTATAATCAAACGGAAATCGAGTGAAAAGTCCAGGGCGTTTGAACTCCCGCGCTCGATGACGTCATAAAAATCAATTTTTTGAATTTTTGAAATTTGTTTTCATAACCTGAAAGAGTATCATGAAATACCTCTAAATCTGCAAAATCAGTTAAAGGTATTACGAATTGGCTGAGATATGGCCACAAGAGCACAGAATCTTGCCCCATCAAACCTCTATAATTTGGTCTTGGTTCATAACTTTATGAACCTGGCCAGAATAACAGTAATCCGTTAGCAAACCTTGAACCTTCTATTGGCCATATCTCGCCCAATTTTGAGTATATCTAACTGATTTTGTAGATTAAGAGGTATTTTGTGCTGTTTTTTCAGTTCATGTGGTCAAATTTAAGAAATTCTAGAAAATATTTTTGATGACGTCACACTTAGGTATTCGAGTGAAAAATCGAGACGTTCGAAAAAGGCTTCAAATCGAAATGGATCTCTCAGTTGCAATTATTCGAGATGTTAGGTTTATTGTCTCTATCCGTCTATTTATAGAAATTTTATTATAACAAAAAAATTTTGATTCATTTAGTGGCCCAACCCATTTTCTTATCCAAGAAAGGTGGTTTTGCGCAAAGATTGATAGAATTCAAAGATGGTTCTCACGAATGTGTTATGTAAATTCTTCGAAGGTTATTTGTCATATCATTTTAAATCGTCCAAAAATCTTACATTTTCACAACCAACAGTTTTAAAGCCACATTCAAATTTACCTGCTTTCAATTTAAAGCCATAGCCATTCTATTTGCCATTCCATTTGCACCTGTCAGTGTTCACTGGATAGGGGCAACGGCCCCGTGATATCCTCATCAAGGCATGCAGAATTCTCCCTTTCTTCATGAAGAGCAGCAGAAACAGTTTTGCCTAATCTTTGCTATTTGGTTACTATCAAACACGTAACTTTTGCTCAAGCAGCTTAATAGATTTCTTAATTAAACTTATTGTCTTTTTGCACTTTTTTGCAGCGTACAGCCGAGCCTATAATGCGTATTGCGCTAGTTGCAAAAAATCAGTAGAATTTTCCACTTGCCCCAAAATACCATCCTGCTCCTCATGTCCAGCGAATTCTATAGGCTGATTTACAAATTAAACTATCCCCTTGCTCATCTTCGTATCAGCAGATCCAAAGTTCGGGAGCTAGAATTAAACCATTTTGATACTTCTACTGTTTAAATTTATTTCTGAGATGAATTAAACCCTAGAAATTTCAATTCAACCGAGTCAAATAAATCTTTTCCGTTAGACTTATTCTATCGCTTAGCAAAGTTTTCTAGTTAAGCATGTGTTCCTAACATCCTTGCATGTCGATATTTTCCAACAATAGGGTAGTTACAGATGTGGACCATGTAAAGTTGGTTATGATAAAAATGCCATTGGGAAGTGCCGAAAAATTAAGATGTGTTCCGGTGCACCGGGGTCCAAGTCCAACCCGTGCTCTCTCTACGCAACTTGCAAAGCAGAAGGATTGTTAGCAGTTTGCAAGGTAACTTTTTTCTTTAGGCTTACAATAATACTCAACTTCGCTTTTCATCGTTGCACCTGTCATGTTTGACTCATGTACAACTGCACGTTTATTATCATTCATTCTTTCAGATGAGATAAAAATATTATCTAAATTATGTAACTTTGATAAACTTCTCTTATTTTTTGCAAACAAGATTTTTCAAACAATTATCAAGAACTTTTACAATACTGGTTTTTAAGATGTGGAAATTGCATAAAACCTTCAAGGCAAGGCTAGCTGAAATAATGCCCTGCTTAGATATTTTCAAGTAGCATAAACTAACCAACATAAAAAGCCAACAAAATAACTCTTTTTTGCCTGCTTTGTGTTGGGCTTTTAACCCAATCATTTCCACATTTATTAAATGCCATCATGTGTTTTTGTAAACTCCTTAAACTTTTACACTTTGGGTGGCTTTTGGGCTTAACGTTGTCTCGTGCGTCTTTATAAATTCAAATTAATACCATTTTGTGAAACATATTCGATTTTTGAGCTCTTTTGGTTATTACAAGGAGTAGACATGAGATTATGCAATTTATGGTTTTTCTGATTAATATTGAACGCCGAAAGACTAGTCTGAAGTATGATGTTTGTTTCACCATGGTTGCAGGCGCTGGTTGTATCCAATTAAATCAACAATCAGACAGTCAAAATACTGTCAACTTACAGAAAATTAATAATGTTTCTTTCATTATTTTTTTGTTTTTAAAAGCAAGGCTTCTTCAGAATATTGATTTTCTCATTTGATCTCGTTGTTCTAAGACCTTTTCTTCGTTGTCTGTCGGCAATTTGCAATTTGTTTATTGGCCTACTGTCTATTTGGTACGCTTTGAGTTTGGTTGGGAATTTGTTGTTTAACCCATAAGAGTCGGGATTCCGTTTACATTGTGCGATTTTACAAATTTATGCGTTTTAAACCATTTGTTCCTACACAAGCCAGTGAATTCATAAATACACCAAAAAGTCTCGTTGAAGCCAGGTCGCTTCAAAATATTGAATATGGTTGAGTGATGGAATTGTTTAACCTTAACTAATAAGTTTGCTCAATTTAGCAGATATCATTTGCGCAGATTTTAGCAATTGGTAATAAGATTCCAAGATTCCACATTCCAGCTTTCCGTTCTCCAAGTTTTGAAGACTTCTCGGGGTTTTAGACGCCAGGTATTGCCAAAAAAATATCAGAAGTCGTTTCTTTTAAACATGGTCTTTAGTGCCCTACGCTCTTCAAGCAGATGTTATGAACATAGACTTTTTGATTACTATTCAGGGTCTAAAAAGTAAAGTAGCATTGGCTGAGGGGTTAAAGACTAGCCCCTTTAGTCGGCTCTAGGCAGGTTTTCATTGTTGATTGAAAGAATATCGTGTACTTATTTTTGTCTTGCATATTTTAGTGTCAAATTGGTTTTGTTGGTAACGGCATAATTTGCGGACGCGACTCCGACATGGATGGCTTCCCTGACACCAAACTCAACTGTACGGAGCCACAATGCAAGAAGGTAAGCCATTTTATCTTTCAGCTCGCTTTACATGCTTCTAGTTGTTGGTTCTAAAACTACAGCATTTTAGAAATAATTGCATTGTTGCATAGTTTTATAAATTACACCTGGTTCACCAGATATGCCGTAATGAGAACCCTAGCCTGTTGTTGAACGTTGCTTAGATCTTGAGAGGGTTGTTAGAAGGGTTGTTAAAAGGGCTTAATACTTTTTCTACAGAAATGCATCTTTAACAAATATAAAGTAGGGATTTTCAAAAATTGATTAGTTTGAAACTAGAAAACACAGAGAAGATAAGAATGGGAAATGCTTGATAAAAGTCTAAAGACGTCATTCTATGTTCTTCAACCAGAATATTTCTTTTTAACCCGCAGTCTTTTAATTTGTTTTGTCAGGATAATTGTCCACATCTTCCAAACAATGACCAAAATGATATAGACCAAGATGGTGCTGGTGATGTGTGTGACAGTGACATAGATGGAGACGGGGTTTACAATGTTGCGGTAATGCTCACTTCTTTGTAATTCGTCTATCGTTTTTAGAGTATACTGCACACCCATAATCAGTCGTCGATCAATCGTCAATCATCTTTAATCATCTTTAAGCATCATCGTCATCGTCATGATGACACGTCACAATGCTTTAGCACTTATTGTCAAATGTCCTTCATTAGGCCTCATAATTTCAAGCAATGTCGATGGATCTATCGCTTTTTAATCGAATTAGTTTTCTTAAATATCTAAATCTTTTTAGGATAAATGCCCTTATTTAAAAACAAAGAATCAGGGAGATGCAGATGATGATGGAGTAGGGGATCTGTGTGACAACTGTGTGTTGAAACGCAACGCAGACCAGATCGATATGGATGGGGACGGTATTGGGGATATTTGTGACGACGATGTCGACGGTGATGGTACGTGAATATTTTGTTATACTTTGTTACATTGCACAATTCAAATTGAAAAAAACTTGATTTTTCATCTCCATATTCAGCGGCTTTTCAATTACTGGTGAATATACAGAGAGTATTCCATAATAGATCTCACCCACCCCCACTTCCATATAGATTTCAACCCATTCCCTTATGAGTTTTACCCTAATCCCATATCAGTATCACCATGTATAAATTTGAGATCCCTAAGTCGAATCTAAATATTGTTATGACTTTGGAAAGACAGTTTTCTTATCTTTGATATCATATGTCCAACCAAAGCTCTTGAAAGTCAGTAGGACAATTACGTGGAGGACCTCTGCGAGCATTGTCCGCCAGGCAAGATTTTTCGCTTTGATATAGGAGGTCATACCTTAGGGGTTTGGCAACAATTGAATCGCTGAACCACCTGTACTTTTACTCTGCTTATAATCACATGTGATGAACCTGTAGGGCCTAGATCTTCCAGCTTGAGACCTTGAAAAAGCTTGAATATGCTTGATTTGATAAACTGAGCTATTGGTAATGGGAACCCCAATTTTTTTATCAGAGACATGTTAACCCCCGCTAACCTTAGCACCTGCAGAGATTTTAACGGCCTGCATGACATATCCAAATATCTATAATACCCCAATTTCCTCCATTAAATGCGATGAAATAACTTATTTTGTGTAACAACGCAGGAATTTCGAATGTACTGGACAACTGTCCTTTCGTGAAAAACCAAGATCAGCTTGATGACGATGGAGATGGACATGGAAACGAGTGTGACAATTGTCCTAACGTCAAAAATATCGCGCAGGTAAGTTATGTTTTTTTCAAGCCTACATCCATCACTGTTTGGGGAGACGATAAAGCAAGTCTGGCACTGTTTGAGACAACCCTTCTTTTTGGTGTCAAATAGCATGCGCAATAATAATCAGGTCCCATGTGCATGCGCTTTGACTCCTAGACAAGGGCTACGTCATTCATTTAAAAACTTTGTCATGTTAGCCTTCCAAGCAAGACATCTCTTCATCTGTTGTATGTTCCTCTCAGATGCAGTGCTTTGTCGATAGTAGCATCTGCTGTAACAAAAAATTTAATCTAAGCTGTAACAAAAGCCTTGAGTTTTGGCCACCCAAGCCCGCCTACCTTGATAAGACAAGTGAATACCGTAAGTGGTCTTTTAAGCCCCCGGGGGCGTATTGTTTTTCAACATGATTTTCCAGCAAGACCTAGATTTTTCTCGCTTGAAATGAAGCATATTTTACTTGTTTGTTTGTAATTTACAAAGATTAACGCTATGGATTTATTTTAGCGTGATTCTAATAACAATGGCTACGGGGATGTATGTGATGATGGCCTTGACAGGTAGGGTTTGAAATTTCATCAAAACCCTATAAACAGACATCGTTATAGCAACCATAGGCTTATTACTTATACTCGCAGTATTGATAAAATCTTTATGTTACATTCAGATTTGGACGGATAAATGAGATCAGTTCAGATTTTTGGAGGTTAATGATAAGCCTGACTTTTTTCCTTGCCTTGATCTGCAGACGATATCTACACCCGGTGGATGCAACGCCATTTGTTAGGTTTCTGCTTCCGAATAAGATAAAACCGGGTGTTATAGAGTTTATCTTGCCTGTGTATCTTTATGAAATCATTAGCTAACCAATTCCACGCGTAAATCTGTCTCCTATAAGAATTCTGCGTCGGTAAAATCTTAGTGAAATAGCTTTCACTTTGTATCTTTTTCGGAAGATGTGAATTAACATAAGCAACCGTGTTTAATATATAAGCATTTAAAAACAATTAACTTAATTGTCGGTAATACAGACTTAGTAACTATAAGAAATTTTGTTAAAAAGCCATGATCCATGATTTGCTTCTGATTAAAACTAAATCGGGGTATTACTACGCTCTTAATCCATCAAAACCCCAATTTTTCATTTTTCGGAAAATTGATAAAGCAAATTTGAGAAATTTTCGGCCTTCTGCTTTAGGTTAATCGTTTTAAATGTTTAAAGAGACAAAAAATTTGTTTTGGTGAATTAGTCCTGTCGGCTATTGCAATGAAAACCAGCCTAAGTGAAGCGCCGATGCTAGCTGGTGTGGATTGACCTTTAGCTGGTTTGTGTTTATTTAATTCAAGAGATAGCGATACATCTCTAACCCTGTGATGCAATTTACAGCGACTGGATAAATGATTTGAAAGTCACAAGACAAGAGAACTATTTTTAATGGGTCACCCTCCGTCCTGTAGTCAAAGAGAATGCGCATGGAACGAAGTTAATCATACGCGTGCTCTTTCGCTCCAGGACGGAGGGTTGCCTTACTCAATGAAAGGTATTCTCTCGGTCTCGGTCACCAACATGGAATGTGTCACTCATTCCTATATTTTTGAACGAGCTCCTTTCCAAAATTATCCAAATGTTTACGTAATTCCTGGGAGTTTTGCTTTCATTTTAAGTGCTTTCAATTGCCTATTTGCCAGAAGTTTTCAAAGACTATTTTGTTTGCTCCAGTGACAAAGATGGCATCCTGAATCGATTTGACAACTGCCAGTTGGTTCCAAACGCTGCCCAACTTGATACGGATGGAGATGGAAAAGGTAAATGTTTTCAGTTATTCGTAACGTACTTCAACTGAAAGGAATGTCTCTTTTACATGTTCAATCCAACGAAAATGTGCCTCTTGAAAAGAGAACGGAAAAAGGAGACTATCTTACTAAAGTATCTTTATCCAACACCCCTTACCCCATAAACGTCGGATACAGACTAGCGGAACATTTATATCCAGATGTGGATCGAAAGTAACCAGAAAAGATACATGGTGCATTAGTTTGGTGCCTTGATTTTGACCGATTTGCGGCAGCTCAGTTCTCATCTAGTTGAAGAATCCGAAGAACTGAGCTTTACACCAGTTCTAGCAAAAGAGATCAGAAACCTTGACATTTAAGAAGCAAGAGCTTGTAATTTTAGAGCAAATCTACAGAGAAAGATGGGTCATAGTCTAGAATGATTTTTAAGAAGTGAAAAGGCTTTCATGCACAAACTTTGAAAGTCAGATCTTTGGTTAACCCAACCCCTCCCCCCACCCACCATACATAATCATTAACCGACAATTGGACACTTCGATTAATGACTGAAATGTTCTTTATATTAAGTTATGTTATTTCAGGTGATGTTTGTGACAATGATGACGACAATGATGGAATTCCTGATTCAAATGACAACTGTCCTCTGGTTTTGAATCCACGGCAGGTTGACTTCAATGGTAAGGAGCGATGGCAATATTTTCGGATTTTGATAGTTGTGTGTTTAGTATTATTCTCATCGACAGGTATCTAGATGCATTTAAAGGAAAGTTACTCCACTGAAGTCCCCCTCCCCCCATTCAGGCTGTCCCTAGATCAGGTAAACTAGCCTCGGACAGACGAGACTTGTTAATTCAGAACGAGAACTTGTGAAGAGAGCAACGCATCTATTCTTACGCATAAGTAGCCAGTATTATAAAATCTTGTAGAAAGAATTTTTGCCAAATCACATATGGTCTTAGTCAATTTGCTCTTAGGATACTCAAATGATTCACCATTTAGTATAGAAATGAGTTAACTTTTGTTGGTCATCTAGCGAGTATTTGACGAAAAATATAAGCTTAAAGGCTCTTGTTCAACCGGCATGCTTTGAAACAACATTTTCAAAACCGGCCTTATATCGTACTGCATTAAAATACAAAACACAGTCACTTTCTCAAGACAGCTGCCGCTAAGCATGCCGGTTGCGCAAGAGCCTTCAAGTTTCAGAATGTTTGTGCCATTTTGGATTAATGCTGTTATCCTTTTCTGAAATGTTACAATCCGATTTTGATTTGAGTATAAATTGTCGTTAAAAAATTGCGGATGAAAACCTTCAAAAACTCCTGGTAAAAGCGTCCAGTAGAACCAAATGTATTACAAATTTTACTCGAATTAAGAAGCTTGTTTATCAGACTGCTACAGCGTTTCACTGCGCAGTAGCGTATTTGCATCAGCTTTTTGCCAAATTTAGGCCCTTTTTGAACGTGAGCTGCTTCAGTTAATTAAAGCGAGTTTTTAACCGTTTCAATTTCTGCACCTACCATATTTTTAGTTATCGTTATCATGACATTTTTCCAGCCAATGGAATAGGTGACGCATGCGAAGAAGATGCTGATGGCGACAGTGTCTTAGGCAACGATCATTGCCCGAGGAACAAATTCATTTCATCGACAAACTTCACTGGTGGGAGGGAATACCTATTAACGAGATTAGTCAAGAATGCACAACAGTTTCCCAAATGGGTTGTCCGCTCCGGGGTATGATGTGTTTTCGTTTCCTTATGTTTGCTGTTTGTCCCTCAAAGATACATCAAACAAGACTTCTGCTAAAGAATTTTACACATAATATGCCCCAATTCTATCGGAGAAAATTTTATTTAAGTTTTAAGAAAAATTTGAGTGACAGATCTCGTTTTTGTTTCATCACTAAACAATTCATTTCAAACTGAGGCTCAAAGAAAGCTAGTCATACACAAAGCAGATCTTGGTCTTCTTTATCAAATTTCTAATCATCTTTGTTGAAGATCCATTGCACGTAGCAACTCAACTGCTACACGTGAAATTTTAAATAAATTTGAGTTTAGTTCGTGTTAATTGTAATCTTGCATGATATTTCCTTAGGCTACAAGCCTCTAGTATCATGAACAATTTTTTTTTATTTTTCAATGTCAATAATTTTTGACGTGGCATTTCTTGTAATATGTTTGTCTTGCAATCCAAAGGGAACTGAGGTGCTTCAAGAGAAGAACAGCATTCCATCTGTCTTTGTTGGTGAGTTCAAGCCTTCTAATGTCGCTGCATCAAAATGCGATCTGTAGTTTTAAATTCTTGAGTAGAGTAGGGATGATATGATGTATGTGTGCCCAATCAGGTCAAGAGGCTTATGGCATCCAAATTGACCCGTATGTGCTTATCTTTACTTGGTCAATTTCCAGATGATAGAATGCATCAACAACGTTGCCAATCATACTACAGTACATACTGCTCGTCGCCGGGCTATAAAACGTTGAAGAATAGAAGTAGAGGATAATGAATTATTCATACACTTATGTTTATTGGACAAAATATTGTTTATTTTAATTTGTTCTTTCGTGATAATGACAACAGTTTCAGTCTCAAAATGAATAAATACAAGTGATGGGTCGTGCTTGGTTTAGGATCTGAAATGACCTGCCATATTTTGTAGGAAAAGCAAGGTATGATGGGATCGACTTTTCTGGAGTTATGCTGGTGCAGACATCTCATGATGACGACATTATTGGTTTGGTGTTTGGATTCCAAGGCCCGAACCATTTCTACTTGATTTCCTGGAAACAAGCTGATCAGATATTCTGGGAAAATCAAGATGGACAAAGGGCTGTAGCAACAAAAGGCATAGAGATTAAAGTGAGCTAAATTTCATGATTTACTTTTGCCTTTGCAAAAGCACAGTTTCTTCATCTTCTTTTCCCTTCCTTTGTTGGTTATCAGAATTGATCGAATGTATGCAACCTCGTTGTTTTGAAAATGACGATTAATTTCTTTCAATAATATTTTTTTGTTGGGCTTTCACATTGCAAGCATCAGTTCACCCATCATCATCGTCATTGTCATCATCAGTCATCATCATCATCATGAACCATCATCATTTTTTCGTCATCAGCACCAACAACATTATGATCCTTCTTGCTGTCGTTTCCTATCCTGGCAGCAGTAGATATATTCAAAGGCTGATAATCAAATTGCATTGAATCTTCTAATTGTCGTTTTTAAGATTCGATATGTTTGTAAAAAGAACAGTATACCTAGATTTACGCACATGAACTAACTCAGTTTGTCTTTTTTCACTAGATCGTGAACTCAAAGACTGGTCCTGGTCCGCAACTGAGGAATGCTTTGTGGCATTCGGGGAATTACACAAGACAGGTTTCAAATGCTTAGTCTCTTTCATCTGGATTTTACGCTTGGTAATTGCATTGTACAAACTACAATGCCAACCAAAATTAATTAAACACGCAACCAAAATTTTTTTTTTCAAGTTTTATCCAAACAACTACTACTTCAACTCTCATCCCCCTCTCCCCCCCCCCCCCCCCAGGGAAAGGCTTTGATTTAGGGATCAGTTGAGCGAAGATACTTGCGAGTTATAAATTTTTCAAGAGCTCTTGCTCTAAGAATGAATAGGAAGATGTCACAATTGAGTCTCCTCGCCGTTACATGTCGGGCATACTATCAAACTATCAAACTGCTATTTAATTCCTAATTGATTTTTCGACACTCTTGACTTATTTTGACTCTCCATCTGTTAGTCCGTCGATTGCTATTAAGTTCTACAACGAAAAGTAACTCCATATCTCACAACGATTCTTGTCTGCACTGATAAATGATGTTTATTGTTTACTGTCAATGGTTTGCTTAAAAATGTTAGTTTCATATAATCTTTGGCGACAGGAATCCCCGAAGGTCTCTGTAAAAATTGTAGAAAAACGCTTAGTGTAGGGTTTTTGACACAGGACTGACAGCTGAGAATAACCAAAATAACAGACTGAGTCGAGTGCACACTGAAAAATACATTTTCAACCACGTGTAACTGTGCAAAACCAATTGTTTCTTATAAACATTTGATGTCATTAAAAGCAAAAAACGTAGATTTCTGCCGCCTCAAGACCTAGACTTTTCCTACGCTTTTAGTGGTGCCATATGGTTGCTTTACACTGCAGATTTTTTTGTTTATACACCAAATGGCTATAGGACACTAAGAGTTACATAAGATTTCCGATGTGATCGCATTTTTCGATATCAGAATCGCCTTGAACTACACACCAAGGGTAAACAGCTCCAAAAAAACGTACCGATCAAAATTCATCATCTATATTGAGCAAATGTGAAAATCTTTCATGGCAGTGTTACATTAGTGCACCGATTTTGATCTTCTCTGGCTATGCAAAAAAAGATTTACGTATTTTTCAATTCAATTCAGTTCAATTCAATTCAATTTTATTCGTATACTGCAGAAGAAGAATCCTATATTAGTGCTGTATTATTGTAACGGTATAAAGAACCTAGGGCTTTAGTGTCCACCTTCTTATCTTCGTAAGAGCCTCCTATCCTATGGTTTTGGAGCTCAATAGAGCACAGTTTCTTTACCATTTTTCATCGTATAGACGGAGATGATGTTAACGATTTCACACAGAAGGTGTATACAGTATGAAATTCTTGGTATAGAAAAATACTTTGGGGCTGACTAAACCAATTAATGCTCCTCTCGTGTGTTCTTGGCGTATAGTAAGATGGGTTCACTAAAACAAAGATCAGACAAAGCTAAGAGAGGGGGAAGGGGTAAATGGGGAATAAGAAATTGTTTTCAAAGCACTTTATGCTCAAAAACGGTTTATATAAGAAAGAACAGTGATGGTTCACTGTTCCTTTAGTTTTTCTTTCTTCTACTTGAAATTGGTGAACAATTCTTTCGTGGTATAAAAGTTTAAAATGGCTTTTAAATGGCTCGCTTCTTTCCTTTTTATGCGAGATAATTTAGTAAATTACATTTTCCTATCGACAATGAGACATAAAGATCGAGAACGCTTTGTATCTTTCCAAATTGAAGATTTTAGTGCCTACGTGATATCTTTGTTGTCCCTTTTGCCACCAACGTTTAACTGTATTGTAGACAACACTTCTTTGGAAGGACACTGGAAATCATGGTTGGAAAGACAAAACTCCTTATCATTTTGCCTTACGTCATAGGCCTCAGTTTGGACTTATAAGGTATTTCATCCCTTGTTCAGTAGCAATATACACTTTCATTGATTTTATTTCTATCATTGAAATGTCATTGAAATTTTCTATTAGTTTTTAATTTTCGCTTTGGCATAAATTTTGACCATCAATTTTTGAGCCTGGCATAAGATTCCATATGAATGTATTTTTGAAAAATCAAGGCCAGTTAGCATTCTTATCATGTTGAATCAACACAGTATTTCAAATAAAGTTCGTTGCCGACTTTAAATGTTGCCTGATTTGAGATAAATGCTTTGTCAGTCTTAACATTTCGAGAATATTGTTTTGAATAATTTTGTATATTTTAGGAGGGGCTCTTGAAACCAGTTCTTGATCTGAAGGGCACTCCTCCCTTTAGATGGATATTGAAGTTAAATGAATAGTGTTTGTAGCCATGACTGTAACTGCTCTAAGCATTAAGAGAAGTAAATGTTTTTTTCTGCAACTTTCACCAGATTGCGAGTTCACGAGCGCAGTAATCTGCTTGTTGATACTGGATACCTCTTCAACGAGGAGCTAAAGGGCGGAAAAGTTGGTTTCTTTGCATTTAGTCAAGAAAATGTCATATGGAACAATTTGAAGATTGAGTGCGATGGTTTGTCCGTTTTTTACTACTTTGGCAAAAATTTGAAGACCATAGCTGCTTATTTTCAACTCTTTTAAAATGATTTGGCAATGAACTTCCAATTACTAAGAATATATGATATGGGAAAGAATATGGGAAGCGTGCTGATATTTTTTATATTTAAGATGGGAATGAGATTTTTTGACGTGGCACAGTTGCTCCCCTTGTGATGATAAATCATGTCACATGACTAAGTTTTTGATAGAAAATTTGATTTTCGAGCACGCTAGAACCCCAATTTAATCTTCAGGCCTGTAGAAAAGATATGATTGCGACTATGCCAAAAAAATTGTAGTCTTGCGACTTTTCAAAAAATTAATAGTATATAATAGTCCAGATACATAAATAAGGAATTTTTGAAAGACCTCTCCCCGTTACTTTATGGTGGAATCTGCTTCCTACGCCATGGCTCCCTTGATCTCCAATGTCTGCAAGTTCCTGCTTGTTTAAAGCCCCTTCTTCTCCGATGATATTTTCACGAGGCTGCAAATATCCGTGAAATATCTTTTTATATTAGCAACTTCAGCTTGCTTAAAACCTGTAGAGTGAGATGGCGTAATTTATGAAGATACGTGTATAGAAAAGTGAGCATTGTTTAGATAAGTTTTCTGAAAATCAGTAACCAAAATTTCCCCTCATACAAGCTCTGTGCTCTTTTTTAGATGACTTACCAAAAGACCTGATTCAGCGAAGAAGGAGGCCGAAGCAAGTTTGAAACCGAGGTAAAAGCTAGCCTCTGGTGGAAAACACTAAGTTGTTAACAGGGCATCGTTTGAAATACGACAGCCTAGAAGAGAGGCTAAAGCCGTAACGTATTTCTATATTATATGGATTTCCTTTATTTAATGGTGTCGCAGGGTTGTTATAGCCTCAACCATGAGCAACCTTCAAATAGTAATTCGGCTTGTAGCTCAAATATAAGCCAAATATAATTGATTTTTATTGATCGATGCAACAATCAAAATGTTTTTGAAACAAATTTTTGTTCACGATTTTCGAATTTAGTATCAAAATTCTGTCTGTAAATTTTGTTAGTGGAAGGTTTCTTCGTGTTGATATTATTTTTTTGGTGGTATGGTGAATATCCAAGTTTTCAAGCTAATTCTTCATTTTTTTATACTGACCTTTACAGCATTTTTCAAACAAATTCTCAAATTGAATTTAAATAAATTGAGCTCTTGTATTTCGCACAAGGCTACGGTATTACGGTAGGCAGGAGCAAAAAAACAGCAAGGAACAATCCAATAATAACGAAATACAATTTGAAAACCAAAATTTACCAAAAAGTAGAAAAATAACTAGTATTTCACCACGATATACGGCAATTAATTTAAGATACAACGTTTTTAGAATGTTAATTTTTATCTGAAACTGCAACTTTGTTCAGAAATGGTTTTCTTGGTCACGCGCAAAAATTTGTGTAAGTAGATGATATCATTCGCAATGTAATTTGTAATTTTTGTAGATTATTTTGGATATTTCCAATCAATTTATTTACAGTCTTGTTTTCATTATGCGCCTCCTAAAATCTCATAGCTAATCGATATTTGCTAATTTGAGGAGTCTCAGCGAACTCCGATTTGATTTCTTCGAGTTCCCTCGTGGCAGGGGTTAAATTTCCAATTGGAATACATCTCTGGTGAGAACATAATAGACTTAATCTACGAGCCTCTGTTTCGCTATTGCCTCACTTTACGGTTGCTACGTTTAAAAAACGTAATTAGCAATGCAATGTACAGCGTGCCTCGATGCAGAGAAGAGGCGTTGAATGACCTAATGTGTTTTCAAGCCTAATATTGCACTATTTATTCGTATCCTTGGCAAGGATGAAAAAGGTCTCAGTTCTGAAAAACACAGCAATACTAACATAACAGCAAACAAAGCAAGGAGCTTTTCTTGACCTTGAGATCCACAAGCATATTTTTCAACTAATTGAATATGCATTTAGAAACTGAATCTTTCATCAGAAACAAGATGTTCATATCATATGCGTACTTAGCATTCTGTTTTGTTGTTTGCTGAAGAATACATCAAAGGGTACTGATATTGGCGGGTGCAATAACAAGAGCACATTTTGTTCTAAACCAATCAGCGGGTTTGTTTGCAAAAATTATTGGCCAATCACCTGCTTCCATTTTGAGCTTAACCTGACAAGATTTCTTCTCGAAACACTGTTGTTCCGGAGAAAAGTCTTTCGCCCGACTCTATCTGCAGTGAAACACTACCTATTTCCCATCACCGCCCATCACCGCTCCAACGATGCCAAAGCTCATCCTGGGCGCAGACTACCTAATTTTACTCACTCTGAATCATTTTCTAAATTCACAAGAAATTCACAAATTCAAATGTTTAGTTTTAAATTAGCAGATAATTTGCGCAAAAAAGTCACCCAATCATCATCTTGAGATATTTTTTTTTCTGAAAGAATTAGGCTTAACAATTACCTATTCCCTCTCCTTCACTACTGCACGGGATGCCTAGGCCCTTTCTGAACCACCACTGATTTTGACCCACAACGGGAGTAGCCAACATTTGCCAAGAGTTTGAAGGGCATGGACCCAACCAGTTCCATTTTGCTGCATACTCCCCTAGGAACTGGGTTAAGATTTAACCAAGGTTCATTATAAGTTTAAATACATTATAAGTGATCCTTTTTGTGAAAAACGCCAACGGGTCCTGTCGTTGGATGAGAAAGTCTCTTGATAAACGAAGGCGTGGCCTTAAAAATTAGAAAATCCCACATCTAGTCTTCCCTGTTAGTATCGTATCTGGCTTTTATTATGAATCAAAAGAAAAATATCCTTATTTCAACTAAACGTACCTATTGACCCTCAGGCTAGACACAACGTCTGACCTTTCTAATCCCATAATCTCTCTCCAAAATCGCTATTCTTTTATCCATACATTTATATTCAAATAATCTTATAGCTTTACATTTGCTCTTACCCAGTTAAAAATTGTTTACTTGCCTCTCGCGTTTGAAATGCACTGGATTTCTGCAATTTGTTTGTTGACAATGTACTGTTAGCTTAATAAATCTCTGATATCTTTTTCTTCGCCTCCGAACTTTTTGTTTCAAATCAGGCACTAGAACTTGTCGAGAAGATGATAATGTGGCTTTCCTCATAAACGATATTTTTCTCCCAAAGAACAGTTTCAATAGGGAATCATTGCTTGCATGTTATTTTGTGAACACACAATGCGTCATTTGAGAAACTACCTTCCCATTTTCTTCCATCTTTTTTTTCAGGCAAAAGACCTTAGTCAGCATTTGAGAACATCACAGGATTTATCACTCATTCTTAGCATTAGAGAAATAAGCTATTCAAATGTTTATATCTGGTCAGGCAATGCAATTACACATTAAAGATAACGTGACCCTTGCAAATGAATAGAGGTGAACTGTAAAATAGTCCAATGTACACTCAACAGCAGCAAGCTTCAAAAATTCGTCATACGAACCTTTTTTATGATTGTCTGTTTGTTGACAAAGTATTAACGTAGCAGCTTTCTTAATAAAGTAGAAGAAGCTGTTGTGAGAAGGAATAAACAAAGTGAATGACTTAGCATCCGTTTGAATTGGTTGTTCAGTGGCATTAATCCAAGTCCACTCATTTTTATAAGAAATTCAGTCTTTTATAGTTACTTGAAGTCATGCCCTGTGCTGTTAAATAGATTGTGGCCCTTGCTGAACGTGTAAGTAACTGCTATAACAAGTTTCTATGTGCAATAGATATATTTTTCTTTCTTCAATCTCGAGCAATAATCTTGAGTACCTACACAATTCCATGAAAAATCGAGAAACTCATTTAACAGCTTTCATTGGAGAGGCATACTTTGGGTGGTACACGAGTAAATTTGCTAAATTCTTAGAACATCAATGAATGGTTTTGTATGACTCCTTACACTTTCTTCCTATTGCCAATAACGCGGTGACCCTGGGTCAAATGCTTGTAACCATGGTGAAAAACTTTAATTTTTATAAAGAAACAATGTCAAGAAGAATCGTCAATATTGTTTGTGATTCTCGGTGTTTAAAAGGGAATAATGTACATGAAAGCTTTTTAAAAATTTACATATCTGCATATTTATATATAGTTATAAAGAATTATTTATGATTCGTCTACACGGCTGATTGTTTTTTTACATTTGAACCAGTTAATTGGAATCAATAACGAATGATTGGACGATGAACTTGATCCACGTGATTAATTTTGTAGGTTACCTGTCAATCATTAATCCAACATTCAGTTTGTACAGAATATCACAGATTTCGTTAGTCAAAGCCTCTCGAAGATTAAACGTTTGGACATGTGATGTATTGCTACTTCCATATTTCTTGTATATCCCGTCATGTTCATGGTTACGACCCATTCTTTCCTATCTGGTTTAATGTTCAATCCATTCTTCTCTATATTTTTCAATTCTCTCTTCCAATTTAACTGCAACCAAGTAACATGAAGATTCTTCTTTATTACTGTTTACTCTGATAATACCATCTTAGCAACTATGTACAATATTTTCAATTATTTTTACAAGAGGTGCACTGTTTGCAGGCAAAACAAAGTGAATGGCTAACTTTGGAGTATAATATTGACTGGACCTTATTGGTATTAGGCAGCGGTTATATATATACCCATTTAACATTTGTATATGTTTTCTGGTCTGAGTTTCTGTGTAGGACCCATTTGGCTTATTCTCAATGAAGAGACGAGCTGGTTAAATGTTATTGCTTTGGGGAATCAGCCTGCTCCTCATTACTATGTGTGCGTAAGTGACTTCTTAATGTAACAGCTTGTGTGAAGCTTTTAAGACAAAACTTGCAGGAATATGGCTTCTCTCCTGTGTGAATGCGCGTGTGCGTTCTGAGATTCGAATACTGAGTGAATGCTTTGTTGCACCAGCTGCATCTAAAAGAAGAAACATCAGAGAAGATTAGGGGCGGTACGAATAGGCTCTGAAGCGATGAGAATTTTTAGCTAGGTTCAAGGTCAAGGCATGGTTATCAAAGCAATTCATTCTTGTTAATAGGTGGCGTTACTTCATACATAAAACGTAGATTAAAATATATATTAAATCAACGAATTCTCTTTCCCTGAAAATATGTTTGGAAAAAAACTGATTGGTTTTATTTTTCGACCATAGTATCAGTGAGTTTTTTCTTGATCATTTAAAGTCTCTGTTAAAGTCTTTTAACATTTGTTCAAGAGGGACGAATTTAGTGTTACGTTTTTTAGGAAACGTTTTGACCAGTTAGTTTCGTGTTTAGAACATAAAAAGCACCATACCTAAATGGCCTTTCTCCTGTGTGTGTTCGAACATGATCTCTTAAATGAGAAGACTTTCCGAACGACTTTTCGCAATACATGCACTGAAATCTCTTTGGCTTGACTGCATCTTTCATGCTCGACATCTGTTCTTTGTAGACAGGTTTGAAAGCGTAGCGCAGTCGCATCTGACTCATCCAGATCTCTTGACGACAAGGCTGATGCGGTGGGATGAAGGCAGCCCGAATAGGACAGCAAGCTGACATTTCGTTCATTATCGTCTCTAGCTGCGTCCGCGTTTGCAATATTGTGTTCCTTCTGACATTTTCAAGTGGCGAAGTACAACGTCTTGATGCTGTGCATGTGCATGGAGAGCCCCCTTCAAAGGAGAGTGAACATTTCATTTTATCTGAAGTAGGTAAGTTTGACTTAACCATTGAAATAGTCTTTATAGGTACGTAATGGCATTGGGAGAATCCCATCTTAGCCTTTCTTTGAAATAGAGAGACTTTGACACCCTCACACAGGTGAAAACGTTTGATTGCTATCTATTCCACAAGGAAGATTAATAAGCCTCAAGGACAGAGGTGGTGTCACGAAAACGAAACAGAATCTGAGTGTGCGATTATTAGATATAATGATACTTACAGAAAAATCGTGCTTTGGCTGCCATTGCAGATGGCAAGTAGAGTGATACATATGACAAGGTATATACAAGAAAAGCTGATTATTAATACAATGCCAAGTAAATACCCGAAGCTAGAGAGATCCGCCAGACCGTAATTCCGAGCCATTATTAATTAAAAACATAGCGCTTGCCTAACTTCACACCACACAAGACGATTATTTGAACAAGGTTTTCTGTTCTTGACTTAAAATGGATTAATTTTTGCTCTTCTGTTACTTTTCAATTTTGTTACCTACCTCTTGGTTACCCAATGTTGGTTTAAACTTATTTCTAGATCAGTGTATAATGAAATTCCTGGCACATCAGTAAACGAAGTCTTTGGTTAAAGGATGTCTTTTGATAAAGGCATTTGATGCAAAATTGCCCCGCCCCTTTTATGTTCATTGATTTGATGCCGATAGCTATTGTGTAATGCCAACCTGCAGATTTTTCTAAACAACTAGATTAATGAAGATGTTTTTTCTATGCTACTAGAATGAATTCCCCATTTAGTATGCATGAGAATATTCTGAAAAAACTTTGAACCAATAATCCAATTAGACACACTTCGAACAATATTTTTATCAAGCTTTCGAACAGCAACGTATATAGTGGCAAAATCATGCGAATAAAGTTACTTTTTCAAGCTACATTGGTTGTTTTGAATTCGCCAAAATTTTAAAGACCATCACTCAATTGCAAGGGCAGTTTAAACTTTGAGTTGCTTAATGACTCCTGAATTGGAGATCTTTCACAAAAAAAGGAGTGTCATACATTGATATACCAGCCTAAGATAATTCATGGAACATTTGTTGTTTCTTTAGAGTAAAAAAAGATCGTAAAGAGATAAATACTGGACACAGGTTTCCGGGAAAGATTCAATAGTTTTGGAGCTTTGCAGACCTGTGACTCCTATGTATGCACTTCTAGTGCTTTTTTATCAAATTCTTATCATGCTTTTCTAATTTAGGTCGACATCGATGCTGATGCTTGTCTGTGATATATGAAATAATTCAAGAGGCGAATATGTTTTTGAGGTACCATCTTTCCATAGCGTTTGAATACTATTCACACTTGTCGTAGCTGTAATTCGTTTAGAAAAGCATTCTAGTTTTTCAGACTCATAAATATTATCCAATTGACACTAAAGGTTCTTTTTTAGGCTTTAAGAGGGCGGAGAATCCTGCATTGCCAGAAACCTTTCAAGCATCACATACATATACAAGTTCCACGAAGAACTCGCTGTTTCAATTACAGACGATTGGTGTGCAAACAGAAATTGCTTCTTTTCAAAAATACTTAAAAGTAGGCTTGTAGCGACCTTTTGTTCACAGATACAGTTTTATTTTGTCTCAGTTCTTTTTGCCATTTCATTTAGTCTTAATCATACCGTTCCTTCGCAATTTCATTAACATATACTTAACAAACAATTTCATATGACAGTTAAAGTCCCGTAGAGTTTTACGGGAAAATACAAAGAAATGTTCACTTTGCTTTAATTCTTGAACTAATATCAATACTTACATTGCATCCTTGACTCGACTTTAGGAGGGAAGCAGGCCGGACGTCTAGCATCGTATGGACACTGATCCTGGAAAGCAAGTTCGTATGATTGCATAATTAATTATGATGACGTGTGTTTAATGAGAAACTTGATCATTCACAAGCAGAGTATTATATTTGGATCATTGATAAAAAGAAAAATTATCTTCAAAGGATCATAATTTCATTGCTTTGAAAAATTCTAAACCATGTTTACCAACTGGTAGGCGAAAATGTCTCACTATAAATAACAGAATGTCCATAAATCGACTGGCAGTTTTGCGCTATAGTGTTTTATAGTATTTGCTCTGTTCTATCTTTCCATAGTCACACGATGTCGTTATCCGATGTATTTCAAAATAAATTTCTTTCTTCGTGCCATAAGCTGCTTTTATCGATTAATTTTTTTCAGAAATTTCGCAGACATTTTGCGAATCATAGGTAGGACACATGTCACGCCGATCAAAATTTGGGTGAAAATCAGAAGAGGCAACTACTTAAACTACTCTAGCAAAATGGCTACAGGAGAAGATTACATGGGTTTAAACTCGTACATCTTTCTTGAAGGATACCGAATCTAAAGTTTAGATGACAAGTTATAGTAAGTTTATAAATCTCGGTCTTTTCTCTGATGTTCAAATGCAATACCTTTTGCTAATTTGTAAAAGCAATGCAATTTATTAAAAAATTGTCACTACATTAAAGCATAAAAACTGCAACATTTAGCAAGCGAAAAAACTTGAATTACTATCAAAGTATAAACCTGTTTTCTAGGATGCCTTGTTCCATAATCGGTAGAAGTTTGACAACCAAAACGAAACTTACTGGTTCAAATGCCACCTATATCAAATACTACCTCAGCAATAAATTATAGCGTTTGTTTGCGTGCATTCAATGTTTAAAAACAAAACCTATTTTCCATAGTATTTGAAAATTTTTTACTTTGTTTGCTCGTAGTTGCACTCAAAGTTTAATGGGCAAAAATGCTTGTTCTTTATGTTGTGGTGCGAATTTAAATTTGCGTCTCTAAAAAACCATTCGGTCACGCCTATTGTGTCAATGCCAAGTGCAATTTATCTCGGCAAAGAGCAGTTTCAAATAGCTATATGCTTCGCAAAAATGAAAATATTTAGACCTGAATTAAAACACTTTTGTATCTTGAATATTGTAGCAGCAAAAATTTACCATTAAGATTCCTTAAAATGCAAAAATAACTTTGCGCAGGCGAGAATTCCAATATTAACGGACTTTGATAACGTTATCTCAAGTGCAGAATTCCTTTATTAAAACTTCATCGATGTTTTTAAAACAGGCGCAGGTTTTGATAAATACCTTTTCACTGCGGCATAATTTGCATTCATCATTGCAGCTGGCTGAATAAATGTACCTCTCCATAATAATCTCTGGTTATATTCACCTCTTGCCCTTCTTAGAGAAACCTTAACCTCAGTTAGATAACTCTTGGAGTCAAATTATTGCTTAAGTATGCGAATGGCTAGGCTGGTGTTGATGAGTTTTGTAATACCATTCAAACATAATGACAAAGCAGCCATTATCCAATTTTTATATCAAGAGCGAATCAAAGGTGATGTAGCGGTGAAGAGGGTATACAATTAAAGACACATGCTGCAGCTTGCGTTTCCTAGCACAGGGAAGCTGGCGCTTAAATATTTTTATATTATATGCACCATTGATAGCACCGTTCGCATTGAATTCTTTGTTTTGCGGCCCTGTTCGTTTTACTGGCATTTTAAGTAGTTGCCATAGCGATTAGATATTTCGACATAAGTATGATGTTAGGCCCGATATTCAACACTAGCGATTGTTTGCAGTTTTGATAATTATTCAACTCGTAAACAAACCTATAAAAGAATTATAATTCGGAAGTAGAAACGGAATTTATGATTGTAAACTCTGAAAATTCACCATTTAATCCTGGTAGGCCTTTGAAGTTCCCGACTTAATTAATTATCATCACGATAGCCTCGTCTTCGATATGATACTCTACTAACTATCAAAATAAAATTAGACGTTGTTACACGCTTATCAAAGCTTATAATGGACGGATCAACTATTGCCTTCATGGGAAACACATACATTTGTCCCAGTTCCCTTGACTTCATAGCTCCAGAAGATCAAAGGGTAGTTTTTGTAATGTTTCTCAAAGGAATTGAAACCCTTTTTCCTTCCCTCTTGAACTGACTTGTGCATGGCTTATATCAAAGCTTTTTGTCCTTCAAAACTCACTTGAAACTGTTCCCCCAAAATTTTTTTGAAGAGGATTTAAACATTTCCAAGCCTTTTTCCTATTAAATAATACGGCAGTTAATTCAAATCGTTGTCGAATTCAGTGTATTCTGTCTGGGTAGAGAAATAATATAAATGAGTTAATTATAGTGCAGGTTCATTTATATTTCCAATTTGCGTTATGTTTTACAGGGAAAAGTTTCAAACCAGGCTTTTCTCAATTTGACAAAGTAAGCCAAGATGACGTCATAATTCCTACAGAGGCTGTAGAACACCCCGTCAGAAGATTGATAGAAAGACCGACTGACACCAGTCAATCAATAAAAAGTGTCGGTAAATTCAGTTTATAAATATATCCGTGAAACGGTTCTTTTGTTCGCCACATTTTACTTGTGTATTTACAAGTTCCCGAGCGTGTCATATGTTGAAACAATAGAGTAAAGTTTTTCTTCACGAAGTTGCGTTTTTTGACAAGAACGTCTTGTGACCCAGCGACTAAATAGTATTGTATCACCTTGGAATATATATTCAATGCTCAAATGTAGCAAGTAATACGTTTTTCATTATAAACTTGGTGCCTCGTTTCTCTTTCCTGTGAGAAACGAACAATTAGAGCATTTTTACAAGCAACCTGTTTACATTGTTGAAAGAAGTGACGGCCTAGTTAAAGATGGCGTTTGGACATAAACATTTATTTGCAATTCAAAAATGACAAAGCCGAAAAATAAACAAGGTAAAAAAGACATAGAACAAATTAAAACGATGATGTTTCTTTTGCTTCACATTTTGAAGTATCTTTCTCTCTCAGGTCACGAAGCTGTTCCCGTTGCCAAGCAACAAGACTGAGACGAAGATCACTCTTGTGATAAGCCGATGATAAGCATGTACCAAGCAATATGGGGTAAGAAAGGGGTCTGGGGTGCAGCTTGATGAGAAATGCGTTTATAAATGCTATATGTACCCTTGCAAGAAAAGAGACAATGTATCCAAGTATATCTATGGTTTAAAGCTATAGATTGGCTGCCCTCAAACTTTGTAGCATTATGACTTGCAAAATCAATACTTTGCGCTCCTAAACTTATGCCGATCAAGGGTGTAGCGTAAATAAATAGGTTGTTTTTAATATACAAACTCCCCCTTGTTCTTTTTATAAAAAAATCAGTGCTTGGACTTCCGAGCAGCTTAACAACTTACAAGACTGACAAAGAAATATTGATTAAATTGATGCTTGCTTCTGTGTTTCAAAGTAAAAAATGATGCCGCTTTCTTTTCTTTCATCAGAAAATTTGCGATACAGTCAAGTTTAGCTGATTTAGCTAGTTTTGAATGATTTTATTAAGCTAATTCATGAAATTGAAGCTAAATTCTTCCTCATCATGGTACCCCGAATTTGGAGAAACTTTTTAAGAACTTCGCACATTTAATTTCGCTAAAATTTACAGAAAATTAGTTACAAAATAGGTTTATTAATGCAGAAATATGCGTCATATCCTTGGCTGATTCTATACGGTCTGTCATTTGTCGCATTTTGAGCACAGTAACAATTGGATTGTCAGTCGAATATTAAGCCTATTATTTCCTTTCACTGAGTACTAGCTCGATAATTTAGCTCCAGGCAATAATTGCATGTAGTAGACGTTGGCTAACTTGAACCTGTGGCCTTGTCCTTAAAAACAAGACTTACTGTTTGTTTATGAATTAAAACAGTTGCGGCCTAAGTTGTTAAAGATTAACCTCCTACTGGAATCGAGACAGATGAGCCAAACGGGCGAGAAATTGCAGCTGCAAATCAGACTGGAGTCGGAATTCATAAAAACATCAGGCGAATTAAGCTGTACGGATTTCCCTTAGGCAAAGTACCAAGCACACCAAATTCCTCACCAACGGGATCATTTTGAGCAACTGCTTCCAAAGTTCAAGTGAGCGATAATTATTTTTCTGCTCATCTGATAAACAGAGAATAATTCAATAAAACTTTTTGCTCGCTTGCCGTGTGTAATATTCATATTCAAAGTATCCGTCGATTTAGAAATCTTATAAAACGGCAATTTTTGATTTCATTCTTCAAGTTAAATCCTTTGGTAGCTAATAAATTGTTTCAAGAAGTTTAGCCCCAAATAAACACTGTTAACGCTAAACATTCAACTTCAATCCGTCACCCAATTGGAACAAAAGAAGTCTTGCATGCTTTGGACCAAGTTTTTCCCATGGTAAGGATACCTTGCTATGTTGTGCCTCAAGGGAATTTCTTCAAGTAGGGGAAAACAGAAGCAGCAGATGGATTGAAAACCACAAAAGATTTTTTCGAGCATCATTTATTTCATCAGTTATCAATATTGACTCTGGTTATGTGAAGCGAGCTTATTGGTCGCCTCCTCTCCGCACCGAGGCTTCCTGTACATAGTGCAACTAATTGGAGCTGTCTAGTTTCCAAACTGCTCGACCTGATGACGTAAATAGTTTACCCCAATCCTAACCCTAACCCTAACCCTAATCCTTTACTTGAAATAATTAATCATGCTACTTTATAACTATTAATCATGCTTATTTATAACTATCAGGTCTAAAAGTATGGAAACTAGACAATTCCCAACTAATTACGTTCAAATTAGAGAATAAATGAATTCCTATTGGAGATTCAAGCAACTATATCCAAACTGTTGAGGCAATTGAGGCCTGAAAAACTCTTATCGTAATTGACCTAGGCTCCTCCAACTGCCGTTTCTCTAATACAAACTTATTTTTCAACTGATGTTCATTTGCCTAAACCAGAAACAATTTCTACTTAACCATTTCTTTTCTGCTCTACCCTTTGTAGTGACCTTTTGGCGAATATGTTTTAGGATTTAACCTTAAAAATCTTTTACCTTTAGGGTTTAACCTTAACTAAAAGCAAGTTTCCGCGGAGGCGAATTGTTGCTAGTCATTTCTACTCACAAAATGATTTGTTTTATTGATTTCATCAAATTTAATTTTTCAGTCATGCATTGAGAAAGCATACTGGCTTTTGGTTTGCTCCGAGCGTAACGGATGTCTATTTGTCTATTATACCACGAATTATACTACCAATTTTCAAACCGACTTTATCGACTCTTTTTCTTTCCAAAATAACACATAAAACATAGACTCGTATTCTAAAGAGCTCTAAAGCGATCTACTTGATTGTGTCTCCTTTCTGCTGAAGTGGCTATCTGTTTTCAAATTTCAGTGACTTTGTCAGATATGTTACTTCTTTAATAATCACCCAGCAGTAGTTCGTAGGTCTTCACATTTTGTCAGTAGCGAAAATTCGTTTTCAGATGGGGGCGCAACGCCTACAAAAACAATGCCCCCACACCAGCGCAATTTCCGCCACTGCATTTTGTGAATGTTCGAAAAACCGGTGTCTTTTAGACAATTCTGAAACCTGGGTGTTTTGAAGGCCTCCAAAAGCATTAATTGCAGTCAACCGTTGTTATTATTTCTTCTGTCCGTTGCTCCTATTTTCCACTCTGTTTATAAGATTAACTCTCAATTCGTAGAGATCTAGCTGGAATAGTACTACACAACAAGAAGCTACCAAATCTTTCTCGACCTCTCGTTCTTCCAGGTGAGAGATTTACGTTCTACCATAAATCTGTTTTTGCTAAAGAATTCTTAATGTTACCATTCTCTTGATAATAGCAAGCTTCTTTTCATGGTTCGAAGCGAAATCATCTTTGTTGTCAGTTTAATTAAAAACCATATGTTACAAAATCAGTTTTAAAACATGAACATCTTTTCAGTTGCTAGTTTCATGCATAAAACATTTAATCCGAATGACAAATGCTGCACAGATAAAAGCATATCCAACGGTTCAAAATCTGTTCCGAGAACGGTTTGCTCATAATGATGTTATGTAACTTTCTCGACAACAATTCGGACATCTAATAGAAGAACCAAAATATCAGAAACTTTACCTGAACGTTTATGGTCAATGGCATGGCTGGATCTATTTAACATCCAGCAATAGAAAAACATCCTTCAAAAGCACTTTTGCATTCTTAGAGCTGAACTTTGAGTTAGTTTATTCGAGCTAGATGAAATGTAACTCTTTCTTTTTGCTATCAACAAAACAATATACCTACTATAGTTTGGATATGTTTTTAGGTTATTTCTAGTATCTATAAAGAAATTAAACGTCTTCAGAAGTGTACACATTGTTTGTGTTAAGAAAATGTTGACATCAAAATTTTACTAGTATTCTCCATACCTGTAGCAAATTAAAATTTTTAATAGATATACCATATCATACATTTTACTCACTATGCGTTACTCACCATTTTAAAGCTGCTAAAACATTCGTTGCAACAAGAACAGCAGCTAGAGCAGTCAATAATTTCAGGTTTTGATGGCGATGGGACCTCTTCCATTGTCGGTCTATGGACCCTCCGAGTCTCTATGTACAACGGAACATGGTACCTTTTTCTGATGACTGTATCGCTTTTTGCTTCCATAACTTCGTTTTGCAGTATAAGCGGCTTGAAAAAATTACATTAAAATTTGTTAATTTCTTGCAATGCCTCTGTTTGATATATTTTGAACAAAGTTCGCTTCACAGTAGAATATTGAGGAAAAGTGTTGCATTTTTACTAAAGATTTCTTGTGTTCTATCAAGATTATTTAAAGAACTAGAAATTTTAGTTATTTTGATATGTTAAACAAAACAAGTAACCTATTGAACTGCTTATACTTAGATTATGAAAGTAAAAAGAAAGAAACGCGAAATCATGGTGCGAGAAATCACAAATACATTTTACAGTGGAATCTTCTTAAGAACTGAGCCCCTTAAAACACAGACGTAGAAGAATCCACTTGGTGAATCTCGATTGCTCAGCTGTGTACAACAACTGTATCGAATATTACTTATTTCATATATTCAGAATACAAAGCATAACAGAGATCTCTTCATCACTCGTCAAAAGGTGCACTTAAAAACATCCCGTTTTTTTTAAGTTGGATCACAAAGTCTTTCACATATTGAATCAAACACAGCACCATCACAGCAAATGGACAGTCAGCATTTTCCACTAAGCTATCAGTAGAATGGAAACTCAAACAGAAAGTTAGGTTAGCTTAAGGTTCATAACTTTTCATCAAGCTTTATCAAATTGGCCTTCAATTGTAGTGTTTTTTGTATAACTTGGCCGAAAAGCCATTTCTCAGCGGTTTTTCTACTTTACAAATTCAAAATAGATATTCCTTAACCCGAAAGAATATCTATTTTGCATTTTGCCTATTTGTATCAAGGCAGATTATGACCTCGCTTCATGAAAGAATTGAAAATAATGTAAAAAGCTTATTTTGGCGAATAATCTAAAATGAGATACCTTTTAACTAAAAAAATACATTACAAGAGATTTTGATCTTTAAGTTTCTATGGGTGTTTTTGTTAAAGGAAGATTTGTTTTTCAACCTTTCGCATCCCATTCCTTAGTCTGCAGAGCAATTGCTGTTGCTCCTATAAACTGGAAGAGCCTTTTAAGAAATTTTCATAGAAAATTAACTTGAAGAGCTGAAGAACAATGACAGTTCTCATGATGACATATAAATAGAAAACAAGAGATATACCTGTTGATATCAGCCGATGAAACGTATCTTGTCCCTCTCAGCTTGCTTAACAATTCTGAAAGTCTTGTGCTGCGAGTCTTGTGCTGTGAGCTTTCGATTGTTCGCCGATACCCTAACGATAGTGCTGAATATCCGTGTCTGATGCGCTTCGATAATATAAATGCTTTTTGAAGAGCACCGGGCAAAATCGCAATTATGCGCACGCAGCCGATGTCCACTGCAGATGTCGTCCCATTCTCTGTCACGAGCAAATTCCCACAGAAGTTAATCAAGAGTCACTCGTTAATCAATGAATCTTTAAAGTTTATTTGGCGTCGAAATCTAGCCGCCACACAACTCAAACACTCCAAAAGACTTTGGATGACTTATAATTCACTCTATCACAGAAACCATTTTAATTGCGTCAATTTTGTCGCACCGTTTCAGTTCGTTTCAGTCAAAGGCACTTGCTTCAATTATAGTCTGATATCAGAGCGAGTTTCATTTTCGTCCACCCTTTCATCATGATGCATAATAGCATCAACAATCATCCATGTATTGCAACCGAGGATACTTATTTTGAATTTCGCCTCCTTTAAAAGGCCAGTCATTCTGGTTCTCGGTTACCTGCTATATAAATGCTTTACTGTGTTCGGTGAAACAAGCTTTCCTGTGTTTTCTGTTATATATAATGCAGGGTTAATAAAAAATAAGCAATTGACAATTGGCTATCAAGAATCAACTATTGATCACTAGCTATCACGAACTAATCATAAAATATTTGTCATGATGCTTTTGCAGTTAATCACTTGCCATGGGCTCCGACGCAAGTTGGAAAGTGGGGGGGGGGCCAAGGGAGACTTTAACAATCAAAACAAAATAATTTTTAAAAAGCTCTATTGTCTTGCAAAAAAGTGGAGGGGCCATGGCCCCTTCTCCGCCCCCCCCCCCTTCGTCGGAGGCCCTGCTTGCGATCGCCTGTTCGCATGTAAGAACATCATTCAAAAATGTTTTATATCAACAATTATTCGTTAGGTCTTTGAAGCCTAAGCATTGTTAAACAATTTGCATAGATTGCTCATTAAACTTCCTTAGCACATAATTATTAATTTGAAATGCTGCTTAAAGCTGGGTTTCTTTTCTGTGATTAAGTTATAACAACCTGAGGAACTTTCAATATCTGCTTCTTAAGAGCCATATTACGGAGTTCGGAAATTTAGTGTGACGATAGAACGCCATCATTGTAATCTCAACGTCTCGCCAAATTAAAGCTATAAGCATTTTAGTTTGCCTTTCTCTTTTCCATTTTCTTAACTAAGGAAATCAAAATAGAAAATCCGAGCGTGACTTATACATAACGGGCTTTAGGAAATACTAGCTAATAGCTTCTAAGTTACTTACACTGACAGAAAAACATTGATTTAGCTTTCATTAGTTTTTCAAACAGCTAAAGTAAAAACTCTTCCAATATGTTTTTAAACTGATAAACAAAAAATCGTTTGATGTCTATTACGTCTAAAAATGATATTATTTCCTTCTTTCCTCTAGTATCATCGCCTTCCAGGTTTGGATACCTTGGAAGGAATTCAGATGTGTAATGCCCCTTCCTTATAGAAATTCAGGACCATTGCAAACAAGGGATTACAGTAGAATCTGTATATTACGAGCGATGACAGGGCCAGAGAACTGTCTGCTATAGAGTATAGAGAGGTGTCTGTTGCCTAGATATTTTTTATACAAGGCTTGCTTTGATCACAAGAGCAAAAGGTCAGAAACAACTGCCCGCTACTTTCATCTGTCTGTTATTACGAGGTGTCGATAAATGATAAAAGAAGAAAGCATGACACTGACTTAAAAAATGAGTCCGTGTACTCAATATTTGTGGTCGTCATGAAGCAAAACCAGCAAATGCAACTAAACATCAACTAGGCCAATGAAAACGATTTCATGATAAATGTAAGAAGTTCCATTAAACAAAAGAAACATTTCTATCTACCCTGAAATGGAACCTTGCTGAATAATAGGCCGTGCAGACAGGCCAGAAATCACGTAGTTCCGTGATGTCAAAGATTGAGACTTCGTGCTTAGAACATTGTCGATTTTTTCAAGTTCACCATGGCAATTTCTCGCTTATTTCATCAGCTATTACCAACACCCTCGATTCACAATGTTCCAGTTTTCGAGATGTCACTTCTTAAGAAACTCCCCCTTGAGAAATGATCAGCAAGAGTATAATATCCTTCCCCATTACAGAGGCAGAGTCAAAAAGATTTTTACCCCTTGAAGTAAGAAGCTGTCTGCATAAAAAGGCTAAAAAATAATGCTACTGATAACATTCACCTTAGACTTTGTCATATATCAGATTGTTGCGAAAGAAATGTGTTATTTAGATCATCCCTGCAATGAGGGCTGGGGGCTTGGGGTTGGACTTGGGATGGAGACTGGAGCCCCCCCCAAAAAAAAGAAAATTAAAACTGTTCTAGATTTCCTCTCTAATGGTTTACTGAATGGTTTGAGTTTGCTTATTTTTCTGAAACAATTTCTAGTTATTTTAAAGCTATATTGTTGACTGAATGGTAAGCAATAAAATGGGTTTACCCCCTCTCGGATTCCTCAATGTGAATTTCGTTCCGACGTTTGAATCTTTATAAGAATGTTTGAAGAGTGGGTTCCAGTTCTTTCAATAGGATAAGCAAGCCTTTCTTTTTGCCACGTTTTCCTTAAAGTCTGTGGTCAGAAGGCAGTTTTTATCTGTCATCAGAGCTCTTATCACCTATAAGTTTGATGTGCTTTTAGCACGTTCGACTCTCCACTGTCAGTCTTGCTTCTTTTGTTTGCATCTTCATATAGTTGCCATAAAGATTATCTAAAGATCATCTAGGCTGTTTAAAACATTAGGCCTCTGTTCAAAAAGTTTCAACACAATTGCAATCGAGACTAGGCACACTGCAGACAGAAATGTAAATACTAAAGGTTGTTTTTGTTCATATTAGCATAGGGAAAGAAACAGAACTTTGAGATATTGGACTAACTTTATTCTTTAAAATGGGTTAAAAACGTTTTTAAGATTTATAATGGATTTTGATACACTTGTCGTTGAAGCTATCGTTGTAGTGCGACGACAGGCTTGTCTGGATCTGGATCTTAGGTTGTTCACTGCGCAGTTAGCGCCCAGACTCCTGAAAAAGTGAACTTACATCTCTCATGAAGGTGATTCTAAAGAAACGAATTTCAGCTAACATCACTTAGATGATGCCATTTTCGTTGTATTTCAAAGAAAGGTTTTCAAAGTTTTAGCTAATTTGTCGGTCAAGGGAAAACACTTTCCAGAACATTACCTAACACAAAGATAAATTTTGGAACCAACTGTTCGTGTAAACTTTTAGCTGAAAACTGATTGGTTGAGAAAACATTAAAAAATCTGTTGATCAAGACTGGATCAAAGAAAAGGTTAGATATCTACATCTCGGCCCAAAATCTTCTCTTGCTTGCTAGTCAGGGACAACAATATTCTAGGCCATTAAAAAACTAGCTTGGGTACTGCACAATGTAATAGAATAAAACTATGTAAAAATTAAGTAAATCGTACAAGGAAAGTAAAAAAGCTTTTATATGACGTTTCAAGCATATTTGATATTTGATAGGTAAAATTTGATCGAGAATTTGTCTCGTGTAAATCCACCTTTACTTTTCTCTGAGAGAGGCGAATTATCCTT